AAAACAGTCAGATATCAAGCCCAGCAGTTGATATGGTCCAGAAGATGGGCAGAAAACCCATCAAACAAGTAGATGAAATTCGACAAATCTGGAAGATGTAACTGAGCAACCTCCACTTGAAAAACAACTAGTTAGCATGACCGTAAATAAAGAAGCACTTACCTTCAAGATCAGAACAGCTGCAAGAAGACGATGCTCCACTCTGTCTCCACGTAGCCAATCCAGAGCAATTTTTAACTACAAGAATAAAAGCTCCATGTTACATACAATGCCAAAAGGCATACAACTAACAGATAGAAAAGCGACGCACCTGGCGCTCCATCTCGTCAGCAATCATCGCTCCGCCGGCCCTCGCTAGATGGCCCAAAACACTACTAGCAAGGACCAAAATTCTCTTATCACGTTTTACTTCGAATACCATTCGCATGTAATTTGAGAATCTCGAAACCTTGGAAGCATTCTCACCAAGAGCAACATCTATAAGCTCATCAATGACTCTCAAAGCACCCAAGTTCTCATCAGGATCATTGCTTTCTAGAAGAGCTGATATACGCTCATACAACTGATCCATAAACCGGGCAAAAGCTTCCCCACTTAGCTCTCGAGCTTCTTCCTCCACATACTTTCTTAAAGCCGATGCTGCTCCCTCCTATTGCGGTTTTCAAGTAATCAAAGTGCGTTAAAGGAGGAGGGATAACATGGGAAGTGATTACAGGAGCAACATAGTATCAAGAAATTACATATGGATATTTCTAGATTATTCCCCATCAATCGGGACAAAAAGTAGCAATTGGCTTGCAACATATCAAATCTCTCGTAAGAATGATCTCAGCCCTTTTGGTACAAGATATGGAATAAGTTCATACTTTCCCCCACCTTGAGGTGACGAACAGCTGTTTAAGCTTTTGCTATACCTTTAAAAATGTTCATGATGGAATTCCATCCTTGCTTAAGAAATGCTGCCATCACAACCTACATCATTGCCACTACCTCCTTCATACATCTTCCCTCATGGCCACCGCCTCTGCCAACACCACATCACCACGGCCAACTGTTCCACCGCCGAATCCATCTCATTCGACATCACAACCACCACTTCCATTCAGGGAGAGGGTAACATTATTAACTATATATAATCTTTTTGTTATAGGAGAACTTCGAATGATCTTTCAATGATTCCAACTTCTTATATTTCAAATCCGGAATGTTCAAGTGGTATTGATTATTTCACTTTTTCTTAAGACTTTCTAACCATCGGTAAGTTATCTGCTCTTATTGTCAATTTAACGTAAATTTTAGTTGCTGATATTTTCTTAAGGTCTCGCAACAATTACTCTATCATTCCTCTCACATAACATATATTATGCAGCGACTTTTGGTTTCATTTTTCGAAGCAATCCATGGAGAACACTTTTCCAAGGGTAGGTCATTTCCAATCAAGGTAGATTTGGTGGCATCCTCGGATGAAACTGCTAAAAGGAAGTTGAAACAAAAAATGTATTCTGGTCAATCCAAGCTGAATTTCTATTTGATCATTTTAGTTTTGGGTCAAGACCAAGAAATTTTATTAAACTAGTTTGCTAACCCAACCATGTTAACGAGGAGCGTGTTTTACAGAGCAGAAGGGGCAGGGCTCAGCCCTACCACATGGTCCACATGTCCAAACCCACATATGACATCGGACCACCTTCATCGCTCGTTCTGTTACATATGATAGAGTACTTGTTTAGCTATCAACTACTGTGCACTCTTCAATGAGGACATTTTCGCTCACGAGTGTAAAGACGTGAATGAGATCAGGTCACACATCCCACTTCCACCAAAGAGGGGACTCGACGTATAAAGCTATATTCTGCCCTATTTCCTGTGGTTCTCCTAACAATAAACAGAACGGTGTCCTACCCTGTCCGGCGTTTCATCCATCCTCCACCCAGAATTCAGAAAGAAAGTAGAGAACACGCACTAAACTCAAAAACTCAGCTTCACCGTCTTCTCCAGAAGAATTGGAATTGGACCCACAACACAGAATGCTCCAAAATCCAATCTTACCCCCTCCCATCTCTCAAACTCCACCCGGGCAACACTCAAAACAGAAACCCGACTAATACTTTAAAGAGAGAGACGGAAAAAAAAAAAAAAAAAACCCGGTACGGTACCTTGGGGTTACCGGAGGTGCAGAGGTCGGCGACAATCCGATTGAAGGCGTCGAAGCTGCCGCCACCCGCAGCCGATCCGGGGACGAGGAAGCGGAGCGCCTGCGCCGCAGCTGCCATCGGCCCGATTCCCACCACCCCCAACAACAGCAACAGCGACCCAAACCCTAAACCCTAGCAATCTCCCGGGTCACCTCGCTCGAGACATGGACGAGAGGGGACATGGGTACGAGAAAAGAGAAGGGTTTGCAGAGATTTCGCCAATGGAAAAGCGCACGGGACACCGCCCCGCCCCGCCACGCCACGCCGACGCGAGTGCAGGCTTCTTTTTGGCTTTGGTTTTGATGATGCTCGCTTGCTGCTGCGTTTGAACTGTGAAGAGTTCGTTTTTCTCGCCTGTAGTTTTGGACATCATCATCATCGTCAGTGTCCGAGGCTTTCTTTCTTAATTAAATCGGCCACTCTCTTCATTTTTCGGGGCCCAACACGTTTGTGTGTTTTTTGGGGGGCTTTTTTGTTCTGAGGTCTCTCCGAACGGCTCCTAATTTTCAATTTTCCGGCTTCTTTATAAATCTCGCGATCCTCGTATTTTTCATCATTTGTGACGGGCAACACCCGAAACCTTTCGAAATATTCAAATATTGACATTTAAAAGAATTGACAGCTTTTTTTTTATAAGTTATTGGCGTTTATGTTGATATTTTTTTCATCGTTAAGTTTTAAAGAGAATGCAATAAATAGGCGTGGCAAGTAGTTTTGATGGGTAAGTCATGAGTGGATAGCAAATAATTTGATTTTTTTTTTCGGCTAATGAAAATTAAGATTCATTTTTTTTTTCCATTCCTAGTAGAAAGTAACATCGTCTAGTTAAAATTACGAACGATTGGTCATAGATATAAACACAACTCATTACTAATTTAGGTAAAAAGATCTAGGGTGATATCCATAATCACATATGTACCAATTAGAATACCGATCGGAGGATCTTCTTCTAAAATATGGCCCTGAACACATCGCCACTCTTTCTTTTGAATTTTTCTCAAGATCGTGTGAATTTTTTTATGGATAATAGCAATAGATCGGGAAGATACAATCTTTCCATCTACATAAAAGTAAGTCATTGGTTTATTGCCCAAGTCGGAAATAATATTACTCATTTTATCTTAATTTCATTATCGTTCAAGGATTTAGCTCTTAAATTGAAAGTACTGATTTTTTTTAATCAAAAACTCCTCTCAATACTTCCTCAAATTTGCAAATGCCAAGTATTTGAAATTTGGGTGGACAGGCTTGTCGTCAAACTCGTCACACCCTCCCTAGCATGTCGTTCAATGATAACATTCAAAGTGGGTACTTACAAATTTGGCGCCTTGATTAAATCATTGAGATCCTCAACTTCACCTGTAAAATGTCAAAAACACACGAGCCTCGTATATTTGAGAGATACGTATTGATTCATATGCAAAGCTCAATGAAGCAATTCCTACTGCCTGTTTTACGTTCGGCACTAATCTTTTTTCATTTTTCTGATTTCTTTTGGATTTTCTAGGTATATAATTCCTGCAAAATCATATTTTTATCCAAATATTGTATTATTTATAACCACCTCAACTCAAAAACCATATATTACGAAAATCATTAATTGATTTTTTTTTATTTTTTGGGAAAACTGTCAAAAAAGTCCTGAATCTTTTGTATAGAGGCTAATTCAATCTTAAATCTTTCAATGGTGCCAAATTAGTCTTACACTTTTTGGCGATTTGCCAATTTAGTCGTAATTCTTTTGATGATTTTTTAATTCAGCCATAAACCTTTTGACTATTTATCAATGTAGTCTTTTCGACTAAATATCCAAATAATAGGTTTATAACTAAATTGGCAAATCATCAAAAGGGTCAGGATTACATCGGCCCGATTGAAATATGTATGATTAAAATGGCTGTCACACAGGATTTATTACATTATGGACAATTATCCCTTTGTTTTCCAAATTTCATGTACAAACGATAAATTCTTCACATGATTTTATTATTTTCAAAAGTCACGTTTTGGTTCAGCTTTGAGAATAGGCTTTTAGCCTTAAAAGCCCCTTAGGGAAATGTTGAACCATTTGGTTCAGCTTTCCGGACTCCATTGGCCAAATGCTGAAACCATTTTTTCCCTTCCCAAACTACCCTCACTTATTCTTTAATATTTCGATTTTGCCCTATTGTTACTGGTTATCTTCTTCACGAAAGTGTGACCGACAAGGGCGGCCGACGACACTTGATCTGGATAGTGAAGGGCTGGTGAGGTCGCCCAACCCAAGCAATGGCCGCCTAAGGTCACAGCGCCTGGGGTCGTGCAACCCCAGGCGGGCGTTGCCTAGGGTCGCGCGACCTTAGACCTATTCGCCTGAGGTTGGGCAACCCCCGGCGATGGCCGCTTGGGTTGCGCGACCCTTGCTGGTGGTCATTCGACCTGGAGCGATGGCCGCCGATGCCAGATCTGACTCGCCGGCGGTCGTAGCCCTTCGCCGGCTTCGACATAAGGTAAATTTTTTTTTTTTAATAAAAAAGGGTTCCAAAGCCCTTTGCAAAAAAAAAATAATCAAACAATACTTGAGCCAAAGTAGCTTCATAAAGAATTTTTTATCGAATGCCATTTGTATTTTTTTAATAAACTTTAACCTAAAGGTATTTATATTTGTCCGAGATTCGTTCGTAAAGTTGAACCAACCGGGTCCAAAGTATTACACGCGCTTGAATTCAAGCAAAAATACAGGAGGCGGACCCAACCTTCTCGTGTCTGCGCTGCGAGCGATAAAAGAGGAGTCTTCCGTGGGAAGACAACGGATAGAGAGAGAGCTTCAAAGTCCTTCTCCTCTCTCTTCTTCTTCTTCTTCTTCTTCAAGCTCGGAGGCAATCCAAGCAACCATGTCGCTTCTTCGCGCCATCCCTCTCGTGTCCCTCCGACTAAGACCCTCCCGCGCTCTCGTCCCCGGCGTCCTCCGGCTCAATCTCCGGCCGCCGTCGCCGCGGAAGAACGTCGGCGTCCTCCCCGTTCCTGTCGCCGCCAATTGCTGCTGCTGTTCTACTTCCTTTTCGACTTCGTCGGAAGCCTCGGCCGCCGGTTCTCAAGCCCCAGTGGCTCCCAAGGACGGCGGGCTCGTCTGGGTGTCGAGGACCGGGCTCTGCGGCGGGCTGTCGTCCGATGACGTGGGCAGGAGGGTCCGGATTTGCGGGTGGGTCGCGCTTCATCGGGTCCATGGTGGTCTCACGTTTCTCAATCTCAGAGACCACTCCGGCATTGTGCAGGTCGAAGTTCAAGCTCTGCGCTTTCGCTTTGTTCGTGTTCTTGTTATTATGCTACCGCGCTGTTCCTGTGCTAGAAGACGCTGCTATTCGTTATTGATCGAAAAGATTGGATTTTGAGGGGAAAGTGATGGTTTTACTCCCCTTCTTTACTTGACGGAATTGAGCTTTGAGGTCATGATTAGGGGTATAGCTATCATCCAAGTTTTCCAGTTTCGCTGGCGTTGCTTTGTTTGTGTTGGTTTGCATCACGGGGGAATTTAATAGTCGAGCAAAAATTCTTATAAAGAGTTTTCATGTGTATTGGCATGTGGATAGCCATTTGCAGATATTGTCATGCTTATAGATATTTCCCAAGTGAACTCGGTTGAAGCAAAAGGAGGTCTGATTTTATTTCTAGTGGATGTAGATGTTTTCTTTCAGAATACTCTCTGAAGGCATATGAACTATATTAAGGGTACTACGAGACTCTATTGACTATAATGTGCAAACTTAAGTTGCGTTTGTCACGTTTTTTTGCTCTAATGAACTTTTTCAACCAAAGTTGCTTAATTTCCAAGTTCATGCTTTTTAATTCTACACATAGGTCACAACCCTGCCCAATGAGTTCCCGGAGGCCCATGCTGCCATAAATCAATCGAGGCTTGAATATGTGGTTTCCGTTGAAGGAATCGTGCGGTGTCGGCCAGCTGAGTCAATCAACAAGAAAATAAAAACTGGGATGATAGAGGTACATACGCAACTTTTGTGCACCATACTTGCCCTTACTCCCTTTGTGGCTCAAAACAAGAAGCATGTCTTCTAAGCATTAGCGGGCATGGTAATATGCTCCTCCACCTGGCCTTTTGCCCCTAGGGTGGGTCATATTTCTAGCTCCCTGTGATTGGCCAGTGTCCACAGAAATCAACCTGCCTCGCGCTTTTGGAACTGTCCTAATTCCTTAGTGGTATTACCGCATTCTATACAATCTTGTTCCTGGATTTCAGGTTGCTGCTGAGCATGTCCAAATATTGAATACTGTTAGGTCTAAGTTGCCTTTTTTGGTCACTACCGGAGATGACGGAAAAGATGCAGTGAAGGAGGAGATTCGTCTAAGGTATCTGCGATGTGATTTTTATGTGACTAGTGAATACTCTTCTAGCATATGTTTTGGGGGTTTTACTTAGAAGGGATTCTGATAAATGCCCTTAGATACCGATATCTCGATTTGCGCCGTCAACAAATGTACTCCAATATCACACTGCGACATAGAGTGGTCAAACTCATTAGGCAGTACCTGGAGGATATGCATGGTTTTGTGGAGGTACTGTTTTGTGATGGATGAGCAACTTTGAATGTCCATGGTTGAATATGTATATTTTTGCTTGTTTATTTCGTCATTTGTTTTTTTGATCTTGAGTTCTCAACATTCTCATGGATATAAGGTAGATTGAGACTCCAATTCTTTCAAGATCAACTCCGGAAGGTGCTCGAGATTATTTGGTGCCATCAAGAGTTCAGGTAATTCATTTCTTTGTACATTTTGCTTGGCTTGTCTATATTTGAAGCTTTTAGAAGGATGATTTTCGACAAGGTGTTTACCCTTCAACAGCAGCCTTGTTGAACAATGAAGCTTCGCAAGAAGTTTGTATTATAACTTGAGGATAGTGTGGCATAAAAAGGATTTTGATCTTGCAGATAAAATGCCATGTGAGGTGATGAGGTGTTTGAATTGGAAAATGGACTGGTATAAACGGGGTAGCGAATGTAGTGGTTGAGCCCCAGGAAGTCCTCGGTAGACTAATGAATCTACCAAATGGAGACAGCCTTGAATTGGCTAACCATCTGCTAGAGTAGGTAACTTTAACTGATTGGTTAGTTGTATAAACTACTAAGATATTTTTCTAAGGAAAATGTGTAGAAACTTTTCTATTCTGTTGTACATTAACTAAACGAATTACCTTGATGGAGATTGTAAATCATTCAGTATGGATTTAGATTAAAATCTCAAGCAAGAAAGCCACAGTGAGACTCGTTTGATACACCAGTGAATCATCTTCTTACATGATTGGCATGAGCTTGCAGTGTAAATTACCGAAGCCAATCAAATGTGTTCCTGAAATTATTGTTGGGAAGGCATGGAGTTCTCTGATACTTTATCCTTCTCTTTCTGAAATGCATGCAGCACTGCTCTTGCGCTTACATAATGAACAATCAATTTGGAGTTCTACATTATTTCTTATTTATTGTTGGCATCAGATGTGTGAAGCCTGAGAGTAAGCCCTTTTGGACGAACAAATCACATGAGAAGTATACAAGGATAATGCGAGTGAATATTGTCTATTTGTCTGGTACATGGTTGTACTCCAATTAATGTGAGAGGAGAATAAGAAGTTCCATATTTATCTATTCTCTGCTTTTTACAATTGGGGACCTCTGATTTGCATATTTTCTATTTAGAATATTATCTTCTAGCAAGGAAGGACAGTAGTTCTTGAGTAATTATTTAGTAAACATGCTTTTTATTGAGTTGTTAATCTGATTGTTTAGTTGTTTATTTTGAAGCCAGGAACATTTTATGCTTTGCCCCAGAGTCCACAGCTGTTTAAGCAAATGTTGATGGTCTCCGGTTTTGATAGATATTATCAAATAGCAAGGTAAAGTGGTGTCTTTGCATACATTCATCTAAGTTCTCACCATTAGCCATAACTTGGACATGCTATGACTCAAACTGAGCAATATCAATTTTACCTTGCGGCTCAAAGACGAAACTTTTGGACTCTTTATACTTTAATGGCAAGACTGCATCTAGATTGATTGTGTTTCTGGCAATAGAGGTTCGTGCTAGTTTGTGAGCTTTCTCTTGAGGGATGCATGGGTTGAACCTGTCCCACCAAAATGAGAAAATATAGCTTTAGCTGGCCTAGCGCTTGCTCTTATATGTTTAGTATCATACTATTGTTGGAGTTATAAGAACGTAGGAGATGAAGTGAATGGGTCAATGACAAAACAAGTTTATGTGGGTCTAGGAGATAGACTGGTTCTTCTTTTTTTAGCTAATTGCTGGAACCAATGCCGATTTAATTACGATGACTACACTTTTGGCGGAAAAATGCTGATGATGATTTAGCTCTTTCATCTTGCAGATGTTTCAGAGATGAAGATCTAAGGGCTGATAGACAACCTGAATTTACACAACTTGATCTCGAAATGGCTTTCATGCCTTGGGAAGATATGCTGAAGCTCAATGAGGATTTAATTAGAAAGGTAGCTATGTCCCAGATAGAGTGGTTAATACAACTTTTTGGTTGGATCAGTCGGTTGGAAAGTATACTTTGCACATGCAATTCATTAGAGTTACTTGGGTTTGCATTAACCATTTGGCATGGTTCCCATAGGGGAAAACGCTTGTGGGGAGCAGGAATGGTGAAAGGTGAATGGGGAGCACACTTAGACAAAAAGAAAAAAGGGTGGACTATGAGCGCGGTCTCCCAGTAGCTTTTTTTAGGCAGAAATTATGAACTTGGGGGGCAAGCACTTCGAAACATTTGAATAAACTTAAGCATCTGACTATGGTCCCATGTGGGGTAATGTAGTGTAGTGCAGCAGTCACAGGACCGGCCTCTCATTAACATGGGTCAGTTTGACTCCTCACCAGTACACTTCTTGCAATCTCACCGGTCATTGGGGAGTGGGTGATTCGCCTTTCTGGGAGATTATCCCAATTGCCAATGAATTAAGCAGAAAAAGGATGAAGCATCTGTGACAATGAAATAATACACTTTCTCCTATGGATGAAATGTTCTTTCTAATTGATGCCATAGTCTGCTATTTTGATTCCGAGCACCTCGTAAACCTGTAATTGTTTAGGAAGTCTCAGTCCATCTTTATAATAAACCTGTGTTAAGGCCGGCAGCAACTGCGCTCATTTTTATTGTTGCCAGTTTACTATGAATATGTTTAACTTGGTCAGGATGACAAAGAAAGATCTTTCGTCAAACTTTGTTCTCCAAGCATTTTTCTGGATGGAACCTGAAATTTGTTGTGTCCTGCTATATAGATATTTCTATTCTGTGTGTATAGCACAGTTAAATTCACCTATGGTTGAACAGCAATTTTACTAAATTAACGTCTTTCATCTGCATAAGCCACTACGTGCTCATGAGTAACCTGATTTACAGGTATTCCTGGAGATAAAAGGCATTGAGCTACCTGACCCTTTTCCAAATTAACGTCTTTCATCTGCATAAGCCACTACGTGCTCATGAGTAACCTGATTTACAGGTATTCCTGGAGATAAAAGGCATTGAGCTACCTGACCCTTTTCCAAGGCTCACTTACGCCGAAGCAATGAGCAGATATGGTTCAGACAGACCAGATACTCGATATGAGCTAGAATTGAAAGATGTAATCCACGATTTACCTTTTCTTTGAGCATAACTGCCGAATTTATACTGCAAAGCATAGTTAAAGAGGATGCTCCTACTTCCACTCATATGATAAGACAGTTCCTTTTTTAAAAGATGAAATAATGTTCCAATGTCCGTCTTGTTTTGAGTCTATTCTAGGACCAGCTTCATATGACCTTTCTCTGTGCCATGCTCCTCTCCCTTTTTTTCTTCTTATTTTAACTCATCTGATGGTATTTTGCTTGATGTTTTCTGGTTCATTTGTGGATGATTTGATAGTATGTAAAATGCAATCCCTGTGATAGGGATAAAGATAAATCAAAATATGGGGATAAAGATAAGTAAAGATAGTGGAAATCTTTTTTCATATCTTTCCTCTGATGTGTTGGAGGACCATTTCGTTGTTTGCACTTCTCCATCCATTTGAATTGTGAATGTGTATGAACGAAAACATTTTCAATGATGGATGGCTTTATTTATATTTCTGAATGCATGTGCAAGCAGAAGCCACATTTCGTGCCTTTTTATGTGAGATTTTTTGCCTTAATAAGACATTGAACAAATACTAAGGCTCCGTTCGTTTGGCGGAAAATATTCTTCCGGAAAATATTTTCCGGGTTTTCCGGTGTTCGGGGGGAGGAAAACGTTTTCCGTGGAAAAATATTTTCCATCCCCCCTTCACAAAATAGCCTAAGTCTATGGAAAATGACTTCCACTTCTTCAAAAGCGGAAATCATTTTCCGGAGCTTCTTCTTCTTCTTCTTCACTAAGGTCGCCAGCCACCACCGCCTCCGGTCGCCGGCCGCCGCCGCCGATCGCCGGCCGCCGCCGCCGGTCGCCGGCCGCCGCCGCCGGTCACCGGCCCGCCGCCGCCCGCCGCCCCGCCCGCCGCCCGCCCGCCGCCGCCGCCGCCCGCCGCCGCCGCCCGCCGCCGCCCGCGCCGCCCGCCGCCGCCCCGCCGCCGCCCCGCCCGCCGCGCCGCCGCCGCCGCCGCCGCCGCCGCCGCCGCGCCCGCCCGCCGCCGCCGGCCGCCGCCGCGCCGCCGCCCGCCGCCGCCCGCCGCCGCCGCGCCGCCCGCCGCGCCCGCCCGCCGCCGCCGCCGCGCCGCCGCCCCGCCGCCGCCGCCGCCGCCGCCGCCGCCGGCCGCCCCGCCGTCGCCGGCCACCGCCGCCGCCGCCACCGCCGGCGAAAAATATTTTCCGAAACTTTTTCATATTGGTCGCCGAACACCGGAAAATTATGTTCCGGGAAAATATTTTCCAGGAAAATGACTTCCGGGAAAATATTTTCCAAAAGGAGAATATTTTCCGCCAAACGAACGGAGCCTAAATGAACCCTACATGGATCTTGCTTTTGAGTTTTGTGCCATGATCTTTGTTTTGAGTTGGCGCTGCTTATATTACAAGGATGTGGTTTTGACACATCAGGAAATAGCAAATTTACGGGTAATCAGGAAATATCATACTGGACGCATAGATGGGTTCTCATAACATATTGGAAGCAAATTTAGTAACTCTATCATGGTTATCAACAGGTGTCTGATATATTTGTGGAGGCATCCTTTAAGGTTTTCTCTGACGCCTTGAGAAGTGGTGGGATTGTTAAAGCATTAAGTGTTCCTTCAGGTGCAAACGCTTACTCCAACACAGCTCTCAAAAAAGGTGGACTTTACAGCGAAGCAATTAGATCTGGGGCAAAGGGCCTGCCTTTCCTGAAAGTCTTGGAAAATGGTAGAATTAGACTAGTGTTGCCTTCAGTCTTTTCATTATAGCTGACCTCATTTGACTATTTACTCGTTTGAAATCTTTCAGGGGAAATTGAGGGCATTCCTGCATTGGTATCAAGTTTGGGCCCTCAAAAAACGGATTTGCTATTGAAAAGATGTGCTGCAGCCTCTGGTGACCTAATTTTGTTTGCAGTTGGAGATCCTGGTTCTGTCAATAGATCTCTGGACCGACTTAGGTTATTTATTGCACAGGAATTAGGCTTGGTTGATCATGTAAGGTTTTAAATTGTCTTTTTCTGATTTAACCTAATGACATGACTTATCTTTGTAGTCTGCCTGATAAATTCTTCTTCCTCAATCTGTAGTCCAGGCATTCAATTTTGTGGGTGACTGACTTTCCAATGTTTGAGTGGAACGATTCAGAGCAGAGACTTGAGGTATGGCTGCTGTCTTCATTTTTCACCTGCAATTGAAGTCAGATGAGGACAAATTTCTATGCAGATGGCTTCTGTAGTCGGTTTCCTGCATGTGGTGTGCATAGTCATTTTCTTTGTCGCTCCATTTTTTTTTTCTTTTTGTTCCTATGTTATCTGCTGAGTAACTTAACAACTAGGACTTCTGCTAGATTCTGACTATGGATGGGTTTTGCTAATTTTCACAGTTGACGTAATTGCATATGGTTTACGCACTTGGGCTTTGTTTGGGAAGTGGTGAGGTGGGGTGAGGGAAAATTTGAGAGGGGAGAGAATTCTTTGGAAGTTCGAAATTTCTCTTCGCAAAGATGCATAGTCTTACCCATTTTCCTCCCTCATCTCTCATTTTCCCTACCTTCTCTTCTTCCCAAACAAAGCATTAAGGAATGGGCTCAACGAGTCATCTTCTGTGTCCTTGAGATGTGGTCGTTAGAAAATGGAGCGAGATATTACAAGATATTCATAAATTTTACTTCTATGCAGATGTGAGGATATTTTTATTGGTGAAAGATGTAAGGAGTTGATTGCAGTATGGCAATTATTTCAGATATATTTAAGGGAAATGGTAGTTTTATAACGTGAAGTGAAGAAATCTTTGCCACTTTAATTTAGATGTGATAAGCACCTGGTTTCTTTTTCTTACATCGATGTATGCGCATTGGCATAATCTGGTTTTGGATGGCGAGCAGCAAATACATCTATCTTGAAATTATTCATATAAATCCTTATGTTCAAAATTCAGATATATTTACATTTATGTTGGTCAGACATGAGTGCTTGAGCGTGAACATGATCAGAATTTGTTTTACCAATGTCATATTACCTCGTTCATTATATTTATCCCTGCTTTGACCATGGTATGATGCACTTTCTTGTCCTTTCCGACCATTTTGGTCCTCTTGACTTCTACTAGGTAGGCAGCCTTCCTTTTCTTTTCCTAGTGGACATCAATGGTGAGAAATAACAATATTCTCATTAAATTGGATCCGAGTTTCCTCACAATGGCGTATTTCTCATTACTCATGAGTGAAACCGTAATTTTAAATAAACTGGTAACTCTTAGCTGTTGGTTTATGTTCTATCCTGTCTTCATTATCTTGTTCTTTTGCAGGCCTTGCATCATCCTTTTACTGCCCCAAACCCTAAAGACATGGAAAATCTTTCTTCTGCTCGTGCCTTGGCTTATGACATGGTGTACAATGGAGTAGAGGCACGCCTTTCTCTTTCAGCAGCTTCTGTTGGTAAATTGTGTTAATCTTATGATGTAGAGAATCTAAAATTGCCTTGGCCATCCATCTGTTCCTTTAGATTGGTGGCGGGAGCCTGCGAATTTACAAGCGCGAAGTTCAACAAAAGGTTCTGGAAATTGTTGGAATCTCTCCAGAAGAGGTGAGGACAGATATCTTCAATATCTAACTACTGTTATAAACAGGGTTGCGAAAATTTCTCAGCTCAATCTCACAAAATATCTGCTGATAAGTTCAACCTTTGCCTTGATGTTTTCAGTCACAATGAAAATGGACCTACATAATGTCTATTGTCATCAGAATTTCGGCTAATTTCAGGCTTCTGTGTGATTATGAGCTGCATACTGGTAGATAGGAAGGTCATCTGATTACTAATGTGCTATAATAAAATGTGAGATGTTGCTCCAAACCATATATTCCACTAGTGATGCCTGGATTTCCCCTTTGTTCTTTCTTTCCTATTTTATCTTTGATTTTTGCCCCCAGCTTCAAGTTTGTTTATTTGGACATCAGAAACCTTCATTTGACGTCTGTAGGGGGTCAAATGCAGGTGCTGCCCAAACGATGTCAGATGTCCTTTAGGCTCATTAGTCTTTTTTCTGATCAACAGGCTGAAGCAAAGTTTGGGTACCTTCTGGAGGCTTTGGATGCAGGTGCTCCTCCCCATGGTGAGGAATTTCTTTGCCTCGTGAGATTTCCTTTGTGTGTGCATCTCTACATATAATCTTCTGATTTGATATGCAGTTGTAAGCTTCTTAGAGTATTGGAAATATTCATGCAGTGACGGACCATACTGTAATTACCGTTGCAATATAGATAAAAATGATCTTTGTGGGGAATTAAGGGGAAAAATCGGATTCCATACCAAGAATTACTGCTTGTCCTTTCATGCAGATTCCTTGTTTCCATGCTGATTGCATTGCATGTGTCTTGATTTGTATGCATACTGTATGTAATTGTTTTTTGATCCTCAATGTTTTTGGTGCAGGTGGAATTGCGTATGGCCTCGACAGACTGGTGATGTTGTTGGCCAGCGCTAATTCGATAAGGGATGTCATAGCTTTTCCAAAAACGACTACTGCTCAGTGTGCCCTTACTCGTGCACCCTCGGAGGTTGATCCTCAGCAGCTAAAAGATCTATCCTTGTAGGCCCAGTAACTTATTAGATGAGTGTGGAGCTAGCTCTTCTCTTTATAGCTATCATTTTTTAAGATGGGATCTCTTTTTTATCGTTTAATCTCATCAATATCTCGAGAACATTTTAGCGGGATAAGAATAAAAGGATTAATTACATTAGTGGCTGGAGTGTACTTCCTCGATAGTTTGTCTCCATAAATGTATCTATTGGAATATCAAAAGTTTTTTGTTGATCAGCAAAGCAGCTTTTCTTTTTGTTCTTTTTATAGTCCGATTCCTTTTGGTCAGTCCAGGGCTTGAAAGAGCTACACCTAATGAGCCTATTGTCAATGTTTCGTCAATCATGCCTGGGAATCAGGACAGAACACTGTTTAAGTATCGTTTATCCAATATTTTGATGGTTGATGAATTGCAATCCGGATTGTCTCTATGGCTGCATCCCTTAAAAAGGAAGTAGTTGATATGAATAATTGGTTCTGTCGACTCTTCATGCGTCGGTCGACAACTCTGTCTAGTGAACTCTGGAAATATCGTGACTTGTCCTTTTGACACGTAGAAGGCTATTGTATTGCTAGCAGTGAACTTTATGTCACGTTGATCCGATCACTTTCACAACAAGAGGATTTTTACGCCTTCAATGAATTTATGAAGCAACGTTTTAGCAGGTGATCTTTCTGAATCACACACCATCATTTCTTATGAGCGCCCGAGGGTGCCCAAATACATATATGTACGCACTCATTCAGAGGGGATTAAAAGCCCAAGTTAATTACTTGAACCTATAGGTTTGGCAGGGCAGGGTCTTCGTTATGGCCAGCTCATGCATTCATCAGCTCGTGCTGAATGTTGAACAGATAACAGTCTTACTGCGCCAGGTTATGCTTGTTTGGCGGTGGGAACCTGGTCAGTAGCCGCGTCCCTTTCTTTCTTGTTGGGTGTTGCTCTGTGTTGGACATTGACACTACAAAACTATGGCTCAGCCGTCAGATTTTGCGCTGCAATAGTATACTCAGTATGAACTGGAAAGTGAGGAGATGAGAACACTAGGTGTATTTTTTGCTTCTTTCATTCAACCCACTTTTGGCGAGCACCTGAACTCCTCTGTTCTCCGATCTTTCCTTTTATGGGATCCGCGGATTAATTGTGCTGAAATATTAATCGACAACATACAAATAATATAACTTATAATGCATTTGGATTCCAATATGGAATCTCCTTATTCCGTAAATCACTCTAATTTTTTTTTTTGGTTGGATGTAAATTACTCTAATTGAAGTAACATTAGAATTACTCCGCAAATAACAAATTTTCCGAGTTTTCAGTACCCATTAGAATGTAACAAGTCATTGAGATAATTGAAGAAAAACGTAGAAGCAAGTAAATTTAGCGGAAGTAATTTGCCAAATTTAAAGATGTCTACGCCAAGTGGACCTTCCTTAATATTCCTTCACTATCATTCTATAATCTTGCTTCCCTTATTTCTCTCTATCTCTCTCTAAATGGAGCACTCTGCTGCTGCTGCTGCTGCTACCCTGCAAAATCTGAGTCCTTGGGCTCTAAAAACGCTTCACGCAGACTTCCTTGTCACGACAAGGATAATCTTCATGCTTCTTACTAAATAAGTAAACTGAATGCCCGATCATATGAACTGTGGCTGGCTAGTTGATTATACTAAGCCAATACTTCCCAGGGGGTCTTTCTCTTTCTTATCAAAAGTTGCAGGACCTAATGTTTGATAAAAACCATCACCAACTTATACCGTCCAACTTACTCATATCTGCGTGATTTGCTTTCTTTGAATTCATATACTGAACAACTTACGACTGACTTTGCTCAAATAACTCATCTGCCTAAGATTCTGGAAGTTTGCAACACTTCCCAAGTTCCCATGCTAACCATGCAAAAGGTTACGTCTTAATCTGAAGGTTAGCGATTGACATCTGTTGACATATTGGACTTAATGATGCATGTAACTGGTAATGATGCCGGGATGCCTTATTATGCTCACATGATATGGTAAAAACAAAAATGCAGTCGACTTCATTTTCTATTATCGATCTTCAATAGACATATTCGGCTTATATGTCTCCCCATGATACATGTATCTGCCAATTCATGGATTTGTTTCCAAAATCTACAATATCAGTTATTAAATCCTGTTAATCTGTCAAAAAATGGCATGCATTTTAAACTATATATATGAAAATATGTCGGTTCAAACACATCCAAATGACGACTGTTGATGCTAATGGAAATAATGCTGCAATAACGCCAATTGCTTGCACACTCGATATAGGAAAAGTGAAGTGGCCGACTTCATTTTTGTTGTATCTGTCTTCAATATAATTATGTTGCTTATTTTGTTTCCACTTGATACATGAATCTACCCAATGATGGATTTGTTTCCAAAGACTATAATACGTCAGTTATTAATGCCATCGGCGACGCTTGAACCTCATCCAAAATCACATGTGATTTCCATAGTCGGAATAGTATAGATATTTTTCTGGTTGATAAATAACTGATGAGATAACACAATAGAAATCTGGAGGATAATGGCAGTTTTATCGTGGACCTACTTGCTTAAGGTGCTGCATCTTACAACCTAGCCGATTTTGGACTTCTTAGGATTCACAAATTTGCACAGAATGAGGAATGTCATTGTTTCTGTATGGACAAAAAAAGCGAATCATATGGGGAGGATATATTTCTTTTCATATCTCGAACTGTATATACTGGTCCTTGTCCAGTCAAAACTGCCACAGATATCGGAGAGCCCTCTCAGTAATGAAGGCAGTGCACACAATGCACCAGGAAGCAGGATATGCACTGTATTTAAAAGTACTTTCGGAACTTTAAATTTTCTCGTGATGTCATAATTACGATAAGCACAAATATCGTTAGTCTAGCATTTATATGGCAACGATAAGGGAAAATTGAATTGTCCAACTAAGAATTTTGAGTATCCTAATCCTTCCGTTTTCCTGATATACAGAGAGTGCACCTAAGGATGAGATGTGGCTAGCATTTCATTTGTCTGTACACACTCATCGTTGGCATGTATGAGGTATTATACATACCAATAATCACTAATTTACATGCCATATACACGAGGCTGAGGGAGATTCTGGACTGTCTTTACTAGGTAAGAGATTAATTACTTGAAAGAGAGGAAATTTTTTGACAACCGAAGACATCTATCCTGGCCAGAACAGAAGCTCCTATAAAACCCCCTATTCCAAGCCCTTCACAAGTCACATCTCCATTCTCTTTTCTGGTCTCTCTCAAAAAGTTTCTTTGCCTTTTTCTGTGCTTTAGCCATGGCAAGAATGACTAGGGGTCGCCAAAGGATTCAAATGGCCAAGATGGACAACGAGAGCAACCTTCAAGTTACCTTCTCGAAGCGTCGATCTGGCCTTTTCAAGAAGGCAAGCGAGCTCAGCACTCTCTGTGGTGCAGATGTTGCGCTGATTGTCTTCTCACCAGGCGAGAAGGCCTTCTCCTTTGGTCACCCTAACGTCGACACTGTGCTTGATCGCTTCCTCAATGGCAATGAACTGCCCCAGCAGACCCCAGGCACGGCGCAGCTCATCGAGGCTCATCGCAACGCCACTATTTGCGAGCTCAACATGCAGCTGACCGACGTGCTTGGCCAACTTGAAATGGAGAAGAAGCGTGGCGAGGAGCTCAAGAAGTCGCTGAGGGCTAACCAGGAAAAGCATTGGTGGGAGAAACCAATCGATGAGCTGAGCGTGCCCCAGCTTGAGCAGTTGAGGGTCTCGCTTTTTGAGCTCCGGAAGAATGTTGGCAAGGAGACGGAGCAGATGGTGATCCAGGCAACCAACGGTCAGCCGTTCTTTGGAGCGAGCTCAAGCCATGGACCGGCTATTCCTTTCCAAGCGCAGAATGGAATCAGTGCCCCGGTGATGCCGCCCAACCCTCTTCCATACAACTTTGGATATGGATCCGGATATTTTTAGGCTCTCTACAGGCTCTATGGATATATGATTATATGCTTATTTTGTTATGTAATATGAAGTTATTTATGTTTCTGAACTTTTATCTGCGCATGTGATTGTATGCGTGAAGTCATTTCGCGTATGCATCCAAAAACAAGAAGTTAAAGGGGTCTGTTTAAGGATTTTAAGTGGTAATATTTTCTATGTTATATTCATATTTGATCAGTGTGAACGTTGTGCTTAACCTTTGCTCTTGTTGCTTGATTATGTTATAGTTTCAGATCGATCGATCGTCACCTGCTGCAATTAGACATCTGAGCAGGCCAATTGACCTTCGCATAAACTGATTGTTTTTGGAGGTTTGTCCTCATTGAACTTGAGGCATGTTGCTTTGGTTAATTGAATCTAGGGACAAGATCTACCAATCTTTAAACGACAGAAGATTAGATCTTCAGATGGAGGCGACGGTTTCAACAATAGACAGGTGTCAGATCGATCGCCGCAATCTAGCAAATCTTTGTTCATATAAGTTCCGATTAGTAATTACCATACAAGAAGGATACGCTTTTCGGCATTTCACATCTGAGACGCGTGAAGCTGGCACGTGACTGTCACTCTCCTCAAGCCGTTTCTGATATTCGAAAGAAAGTTATATATATCGAATACAGTTCCATTTTTCCTTCCATCTCGGCAAATTAAAGGCGATAAAAACTAGTAGGAAGCCAAACCAAGGACCAGGATGTATGTAAACTATGAATATGGTTGAATGTGCATGGTAGGAAGGAATGAAGAACCTTGCGTTCAGAAATAGAAGTAACCTATTAAAGTTTCAGGATAAGGCCAATTCCTGGTGGGGCGAAAGAGTATTTGTTTCTGTCTGTTTGATTTGTATTAAATCATAATTAAATAATTCAAAACAGTTTAGCAGATAAATCTTTCCTTCCAGCTATCAATATGTTCATTACTCAGGAAGATGCAGAATACGCCTCACATGATCTCCCTTGACGTATATGCTTGAACATTATCATTCATATGCTGCTAATGATGACAGGCTTCGCTAAAATAAGCCTTTTGAAGCCTGCTTTTGCAGAAGTAATTGAAACATGGAGCACTCACGGGTCGGATCGCATGTCCATACTTTGTAGCATCATATGAAGTCTGGCGAAAGCGATGACCAGTACAATTCATTCTTCAGTTTTCGATGTTCTCCTCTTTTTTTCTGAATTAGAAATGAGAATTCTAAGATTTTTCCACTGAAAAACTAGGGTCTTTTCATTACCCACCTACCAGTTTCTCTGATCGTCATAGTATATGAATAGTGAATACCTTGTTCCAATGACAACTTTGCTACGTAGAGTTATTGTTACCGTTGTTCATTTACCGATTGAAAGATGATTTTCCAAATGAAACGAGTCGCAATTGCAGCAGATTCGATTATGCAGCTTTTCTGAAAACAAGAACGTTTAGTCTTTATCAGGCTATCAAGCTGATTCGACAAATCATTCGCATGTGCGGTTCTTTTCTTGACCATCAGATCAATCAGACTTTGAGCTTTAACACCAATTCCTCACTTGATATCCTAGAGCTATTCGAAAACCTCGAACCCCGACCGGAGAATACACACGTCGCCCCCTACACTAACATGTTCGACACATCGGCTCTTTCACCATCGGATCATTCGGAGAAAAAAAAACAGACTCTAGTGATTAGCTTTGATGACAAAGCGTCGCCTCTGGTTTGCGCTTTGAAAAGCGAAGTTGGAGGAGAGATTACATTAATGAGAGTATAATCCAAGGTAGAAGACAACCGAGGGTGCTGCAACGTGCGTGTAGAGTTCTGTCCTAGCGCCTGCAAAATTCTTACAGGATACGTAAATGCTCCTGTCATTTACTCTTTTTTGACTCCATCTTTGTTTGTTGCTGATCTTTGGCAGAACTGGGATAGAGATTAAAGGTGATCTTTATGCACTCGCATCTGTAAGTGAATTCCAGAAAACAACAAAAGTAATTTATGAGCTAATTATTGTTCCAGTTTAGAAACTGAAGGCAGATACATGATGCACTCCCATGTTACCAAAAGAGAAGACAGTTGAGTTCAAGTGAATATGAAGGTTCTCTTGAGAAATATAGAGTTATTCGTATGTCCATTGTTTTCTTTCGAGTCGAGTGAAGTAGAGTCGATGTATTGGCAGGCTCGAGCTCGACGCAGCTCACAAACTCAATGCCTCAAAATCGACTCGAGCACGATCAAGTATTATCAATATATCCTGCTTGAGATCAATTTGACTAAACTTGATTATGCATATGGGGTACAGTATGTATTTTAATGATCTTTGCTTTCCAATTTAAGAAGCATTAAAAATCTTTAACAAAAAAAATGTGGGCCTGTCCATCAGGGAAAAATTGTCCAAAAAGTCATAAACTTATAGTACGACGGCCAATTTTGGACTAAACCTTTCAATTGTGTCAATTTAGTTCTAGACTTTTTGACGGTTTGTCAATCGAATCATAAACCTTTTAATTTTGCCAATTTAGTCATAAACCTTAGAACGATTTGCCAATTTTTGACTAGAAATCACGGACGTGGCGGTCTAGTTAGCATCGACTATCCTATATGGCACAATCAACGCTAACGTGGACAATTTTTTTTAATTTTTTCTTCTTTTTCTCTTTTCCTTTTTTTCGTTTTACCCTCTGCCGGTCATCGCCACACCTCATTGATATATGGTAGGGGTCGCTGGCCACTGATGCGGGCTTCGACACCCTTGCCAGACTTGGGCAAGGATCACTCGTGCTTGGGCTAGCGAGGGCAGCCCTTGTTAGGGCAAGGGTCCCCCTCCTAGAATTTGGTGAGGGGGCCACCCTCGCCGGCCATCGACTAGGCCCGGTGATGGCCGATGGAGGGAAAAAGGGATAAAATAATAAAAAATTATCGACGTTAGCATCGGCCATACCATGTAGGATTGGTGGCACTGATTAGACCGCTACATCAACAATTTTCCGGCCATGGTCAGAAGGACTAAATTGATAAAATCGTTAAAAAATTAAGGACTAAATTGACAAATCGTCAAAAGATTTAAGATAGATTTGCACAATTGAAATGTTTAGAACTGAATTAGCCACCGTCTAATTGGTTTAGAGCTTTTTGGACAATTTTCCCGTCAATCTGAGCATTAGCGAGCTCTAGCTCGATTGGACGAGCTCCTCGAGTGGTTCGAACTCGAGCTCACCTAGGAATTAGCCGATTCGATCTTTGATATTCCTCAAGCATAGCCCGATTCGCTTAAACCTCCATGGTTCTACTCGTGTTAAAGCTCAAGGAATCTTGATAAACTTGGGAGTCAGAAACTTTGAGACGCAATGCAATTGCCCAACGGTTGTCTTCAACGGCTGCATGAGCATAGTTACATTCATGCAAGTTGTACGGGGCAAATTGTCCACTCAGTTATAAACCTATTGTACGGATGCCAGTTTATTTCTAAACATTCCAATTTCGCCAATTTAGTCCTAAACCTTTCGCGCGAAATTACGATGTGGTCCATCCTGTCAATTTTCGCCGGAAATCGCCGATGTGACGGTCCAATCAATGACGGCGAAAATTGATCGGAATGACCACATTGAAATTTTATGCAAACGTTTAGGACCAAAATTGACAAAATTATAAAGTTTACGACTGAATTGACATGTATACAACAGGTTGAGGACTGATTGGGTAATCCTCCCGGTCGTATATGATCATCACGTTGCTCTCACACGGGAATATATAGTCTTAATATGGACGACCTGATTTGCCACAAAATTATTTCGAGGTTAGAACATGGTTTTACAAGCTAATTCATTATGTACCCTCCCATCCTCATTCAAATTTCAAATAGAAAGAAGGATAATAGTCATGGACCACCGAAAGAAAGCGTCGTCGTCGGGCCCATATAGCTCAGCTGGCAAGCAATTCGAAATTCGAGTTGCAAACATTCATCTTTTTGACTAATTATTGCCTTAATTAAAAAACAAAACTTGTGATAACCCACAATTAACGAATAGCCCCCTGCCAAATCAAGTCTTATTTTTGAAAAAGTCTTGCTAATATTCTGTCAATTGAAAAGAAAAGATCAAACATCCTAAGATAAGTGTCCACGCAAAGAAGAATGAGTTGGAATCCTCGTTCAAAAGCGACCCTTTTCCATAGTGTCCGAATACATTGCAATCGGTCCATTTGAGGAGGTAAACCTTAAGCATTACTTCAGTCACTAACATTCCAACATTCTAATGTTGATTAAGCAATTAGATTAAGGGTCAAGTAATGGCAAAGTGGAACTTCCGGGCCTAGAGAGACGCATCGATAAAGATAAGAAAAAAAAAATGGCAAACTTTAGAAATCGGTAGTGCAATTAACAAAGGCTAATAAGATTGTGTAATCGGATGCCCCAATTCCACCGTCATTCTCTTTTGTTTTAAATAACGCCCTCGTTACACCTAAACTTTTAAAGAATTTGGTTTTCATTCCCGAAGACTTCTGTCGTGGCACTGAACAACCGAAAAATACGATGTTCGCGAAAATTGCAACGTAAATGTAATCTCGGTCGATTAGACGATAGCTCTTACTATTGAGCCATCCTCAGTTTGAACCGAAGGCCTTATGGTGCGAATTCTCTGATCTTGATCAGCTGTAATGCACGTAAGAGGGTTGAGGATCGAGAGAACAAGAACAATGAACATGGTCACGATATTACAAATTTATATATATGTATAAGAATTGGATAATGTGGGAGGTAACTAGAAATAGATACCGAGGGAGTAATCAAAGCCGGTCGAGGAAGAAGAATCCAAAGGAGAGAAACAGCTAAGGAGAAATTTGCCTGCCTGCCTGTCCCTGCGATTGCTGAGGTGGCAGATTGATTGGCTGGCGTGGGGGCCCACGCCACGCAATCAACGGGGGAGATTCGAGAGATGATGACGCGAAGGACATGACGGCTCGTTAGGGGGGGAAGAGGAAAATGTAACGGCCGGGGCCCGCGCTCCGATGTGGGGCCCACGGCTCCGTCCATCTCAGCCGTCGAAACGATAAATGAACAAAAGCTGTAAAAATAAAATAAGATAAAATAAAATAAAAGGAAAAAAAAGAAGCCAAAAAAGAGAGAAAAGAAGAAGAGGGAGGAGGAGGAGGACAAAAGGACACGATGATGAGAGAGTTGCTGGCCAATAGTTGTAGCCCACCGACTGGGGGGACGAGCCCGTTTCCGTACGTGTTTTGGGGGGTGCAGTAAAAGACAAAAGAGCCCGGGGAAATATATTAATTATTATCATTTCTTTCCCTAATTAATTATTATTTTTTTAATTGTTAATTTTATGTGGAACAAAATATTTTTTATTTTAAATTAGGGATGTGCTGGCAATCTGGGAATCCGAATGTACGTACACCAGCAAAGATCTTCAGCCGCACGCATGCCCCAGCCGCGCCCCTCTGGAACTCCCCCCCCCCCCCCCCCCCGGGTGCTCCAGGATCCCCTGCGCCCGTTCCCACGCCGGGCGCCTGTGAGCTCTCCCTTCGCGCCCGCACGATCCCACCCCCCCCCCCCGCGCCGTTGCCTTGGCTCGGATCTACCGACGTTGAGCCCGCGGGGGCTCGTAGATAGAATGGGACCCACGTGAGATCGCGTGATTAACGATTGTGATTGAGCCGGAGCGTTTTCCCGAGCAAAGAAATTCCCCATTTGTGAAAACTTTCCTTCGGCGGCAAAATAGAGGAGAAAAATTATTTATTGTTCAAAGCAGATCGAAAATCAATGAAATTATTGACGGAGGAAAGGAAATAAATTACCTGTCGAGAATTAGCGGGAGACACTTGTTCGGATCAGAGCCCGTGGATCAGATGCAATCGGAGCCATTACCTCATAGGTGACCCATTTGTTCAATCTCTATGATTGACTCGGTACATGATGGGACGAGGCTTGATACGATCAAAGCCATCTGTTAATTACTCAAAAAGAGCGACACGAGGTTCTTATGTTTTCCCCCTTTTTCTAGGCAAAAAGAAGTAATGTCTATTTAAAATATTAAACCGGACATTCGTCTCACGGTTTAAATTTTTAGAACAATTGATAATAATACCATAAAATTTTACCTATTATCAAAATAGGAGGTTTTGAGTTTAAATATTATCAAGCAAAAAGATCGGACGAAACGTGAGGGAGAATGTTAAAATTATTTCTCATTTCTTCGAGAGGATTCGCCTAACACGAAACTCACAAGATCACGTAAAATCACGTTTTCGATTTGAGGCTTGGTTATTGGGACGTGACAAGTACAGATGTCAAAACAAAGAAGCGATGACCAGACCACCACTGGGATAAATCAAAAGCCTAGAAAGAAAACGACATCTAAAAAGCTTTGAACTTCAAATTCAGCCACGACAACTCTTAGTGCTATTTGACCCAAAAAAAAAGGAACTCCTAGTGCTCGACAGCCATGGTTCCGCTAATCCATCAAAAAGGGAGCACCGTTCATCGGCCACACGTGTGTTTACCACCTTGTTTTATTGTGGAGATAATGAGGGCCCTTTGAATTTCTTCGATTCACGCAATGTCGTCCCTAAACTTATTTGGTTCGATATTTTTCTTAAATTGCATATTCATTTGTTCATGATGGTCGTTTTCTTAGATTATTTAATGCAAATGCTAGCATAGGCGTCGCTACTGGCGAGGCTATGCTGTTGCTCACTTCGACCATCCAAGTCGAAAGAGATCATAGCCCATTTGATGAATGTAGTAGCTTATAGAAACGATTTTTTTTTTTGTTTTCTGTTCTCTCTTTAAAATTCTTCTTTGCAAGGTTTCTTCTTTTAAGTTTTAATTGTTTTGACGATCATATAGATGCCAACGCGGCACTTAACGGTTGCGCCACCGTTTCCTTTTATATTTTAATATAAGGTTCAACTTGAACAGTTACATGCGTAGCTCAAGAACATGATTGAATAAGGAAAAATCAGGAACGACATTGCACAAATTGAAAAAGCATAGGGACCTTCCTTACCGTTATCCCTATATTAAACGATGAAGTGATCAAGGAAACCGACGAACGATAGTCTTGCTCTTTTTCACAAATTCCAATTTTGACGAAATACTTTTTAAAACATGTTGACTAGTCAAATGCATCTAGATCAACAAACCAATTTCCATGAATTTTACACATAGGACTATGCTCGTTTCATCATATTGTGAAATTAAGCTACCAAAGAAATTAATTAGATTTCTTTTTATATCAAGAAATAGGATTAGTGTACTAAGACTAGAGTTTATTTAGTCGAGACCTTTGTTGTTTCCGTCTTTTAGAGTACCTAAAAATACCACCAGCATCTCCAGTCACATCGCTATCTATTAGTTATACCTACACTACACAATTTGATTGGTGGGGGTGGGAACATCAGCTTATTGGAGTTGGTATTTAGATTTCAGGTCCCAGTCATAAATCATATTCGTTGCTACCGCTTTTCTCCATTTTTCTGTCCAAATAATATTCCTCAAGGAAAAAGAATAAAATTACGGACACCCAATTAAAGTAGGCCTAGAAGGACAAAATATTTCATTTTGTTGGAATTTCGCCCCGGGACTGGAAAAATGACCATTTTGCCCCTAGGCTATGTTTGGGTCCGAATTTTTGAGAAATTATTTGGGATATTTAAGAGTGCTTATCAGCTGCATTATTGGACCAAAAGACCATTTTGCCCCTCAATTATTGAATGGTTTTTTGTTTTTGTTTTCTGTTCTCTCTTTCAAATTCTTCTTTGCAAGGTTTTTTCTTTTAATGCTCTGTTCGTTTCGCGAAAAATATTTTTCAAGAAAATATTTTCTGGGTTTTTCGGTGTTCGGGGGCGAAAAATAAACTAACCCGGAAATCATTTTGCCCTCGATGAGTGAAAACATGAAGAAATTATTTGTAGATTAATTGAAAATGACCAATTTAGGAGCCCATTGGAAAATTACGGAAAACTAGTTGTACATGATTTTCTTAATTGGGATTGATTTCGGCCTCGTGTCTAAATTATGTGGAGTGCGATTAGCCAATGATTGGTTTGAAATTAATTATTGAATTGTGAATCGCACGTTGAGCCACCATTGTGGTGTGATATTGAGTGATGAATTTCATTGGTGCTCATGCATTGCATCCATAACATGGACACGATTATGCCGAAGACATGTGTGGAATTGTGCGGAAAATATTTTCCAAAACTTTTTTAGATAATAACGTTGTGAGATCACCTGACCTTTGGGTCATGACTTCGGTCGATACCGTCCTCATGCACTGCCACGAAAATGCATTTTCTGCGCATGCCTTTGAAAAGACGAAACTATTTTCCGGGTGAATGTCACAATAAATAATAAGCGATTTTCTACCAAACAATGACGTGAGTCTAAGTTTTAATTGTTTTGACAATCATATTATTGATGCCAATGCGGCCACACGTGTGCTTACCACCTTGTTTTATTGTGGAGATAATGAGGGTCCTTTGAATTTCTTCGATTCACGCAATGTCGTCCCTAAACCTATTTGGTTTGATATTTTTTTCTTAAATTGCATATTCATTTGTTCATGATGGTCGTTTTCTTAGATTATTTAATGCAAATGCTAGCATATGTTTTTGTTGTTTGACAGTCTGGTCAAAAGGAAGAGAGGAGATTTCAGTTAAAACCTTGACAGTAACCAAGCTCTAATTCCCAATCCCAAGCCCAAACCAATTGATATATTTTTTATATTCATCCCACTGACCCTAAATTTGAGAGAATTTGCTGTGTATGAGGATGTAGGGAGAGAGAGAGAGAGAGAGAGAGAGAGGGGTCCAGGCCTCCAGGGGGAGAGCAGTGGGGTTGACCCTGCTGTATCAGTGCTCACATCTGAAATGCCCCAGCTAGATTCCAGCCTGTTCATGTCCCACCTCTGCACACCAAACACAAAATCTCTCCCCTCTTTCCAAATTCATCGCCCTTCTTATCCTCTCTCTCTCTCTCCCTTCCTCTCCCCCACCTCAAAGCCGCTGCAGCAACACACAACACACACCTTCTTCACAATATACTCAATACATTCTGTGGAGGGTTCCTCTGCTCTGCTCTGCTTTGCTTTGCTTCCACTCCAAGGAAGAGAGCTTTGGGGCGATCCAAGAAATGGATCCCTGCCCTTTCCTCCGTGTCCTCGTCGGCAACCTCTCCCTCAAGCTCCCCCGGCCCTCCTCCTCCGCCGCCGCCCCCTCCGCCTCCGCCGTCCACCCTTCTTCTTCTTCTTCTTCCTCGTTCTTCTGCAAGATCAAGCTCTCCAACCTGCCCCCCCAGCACGCCACCCTGCCCCTGGTCTCGTCCCCCGAAGACGACTCCCCCGGCGGCCACCCTTCTCAGCCCCTCGCCGCCTCCTTCAGCCTCCCCAAGCCCCTCCTCGAGAAGCTCGCCCTCCAGAACCCGACCTTGAGGGTCGAGGTCTACAGGGGCCGTTTGGGGAGCGGCTGCGGGTTGGTGGGCGGCGGCTCGAAGCTGATCGGGAAGGTGTGCGTGCCGCTGGACTTGAGGCGGGCAGAGCCGCGGGCGGTGTCGGTGCACAACGGGTGGGTGGACATCGGCAGGAAGAGCGGGGAGAAGCTGCACGTGAGCGTGAGGGCGGAGCCTGATCCGAGGTTCGTGTTCGAGTACGAGAAGGAGCCGGAGTGCAGCCCCCAGGTGTTTCAGGTCCAGGGGAGCGTGAAGCAGCCGGTCTTCACCTGCAACTTCAGTTGCCGGAACAACAACGTCGGCGACCGGAACTTGCGATCCAGGTAATTGGTCTCGCTTCAATTCCAATGCTTTTCGTTTTCAGAACAGAGTTAGAAAGTTAACAGAAGAGAAGATCACTAAAAACCAGGAATCAGTTTCGATTTGAACTGGTGCCTTTTCCACTTTTGCCTTGTTGGGTTTGAATGCAAAAAAGACGATTTTGCGAAAAAGATTGAAGATTTCGAGCCTCTGTCACGGTGTGTTTTGGTTCTAAAACTGGAAATGTCAAGTGGGTAGGACCCGAATGAGAAAAAGCGAATCATTTGATCACAAGAGTTTGATTCTGGAATTGATTGGTGCTTCTTCAAATTTGGTTTTGGAGTCTAACTGTGTTGCTGTCCTGCTGTGATACAGATCGTCCTTGTCCGAAACAAGCACATCGCGAAGCTGGATACCGTCTCTGGTCGGCAACGACAAGGACCCGCATTCTAAAGAGAGAAAGGGATGGTCCATCACCATCCACGACCTCTCTGGCTCTCCGGTGGCGGCGGCATCGATGGTGACGCCCTTCGTCCCGTCCCCTGGGTCCGACCGGGTCAGCCGGTCCAATCCGGGCGCGTGGCTCATCCTCCGCCCGGGCCACGGCACCTGGAGCCCATGGGGTCGCCTCGAGGCCTGGCTCGAGCATGGCAGCTCCGAAATGCTCTCCTATCGATTCGAGCTCCTCCCCGACACCACCGCCTCGACCACGGCCACCGTGGCCGATTCCTCGATCAGCATTAAGACCGGCGGCAAATTCACCATAGACTTGACCACCAGCGTGTCGCCCATGAGCAGCCCGAGCAGCAGCATGGACTTTGGGTCTGGGTCGTGGTCCGGGTCGGGATCCGGGTCGGACTTCGTGGGATTGGGGCTGTGGCCATCGGTGCCCGGTGGGTTCGTGATGTCCTCGACCATGCAAGGGGTGGACAGGGCGAGCAAGCCGCAGGTGGAGGTGGGGGTTCAGCACGTGACGTGCACCGAGGACGCGGCGGCTTTCGTGGCATTGGCGGCGGCTGTCGACCTGAGCATGGATGCCTGCAAACTGTTCTCCCAGAAGCTGAGGACAGAGTTGAGGCAGCAAAGTCAGGAGTGCGCCATTTGATGCGATTACTCGTCGAAATTACTCAGTCGAGATCTCGGGCCATGGCATTTCTGCAATTAAGTCTCACGTGGACCTCTCACGATCTGGCGATCGTTGTGAGAGCGGATGATCCGTGTCGCAGTCATTGGATTTTTCTTTTTAATTTTCTTGACCATGATTCTTTTGATGAGCGTTTTTCTTGGCTCGGTTGGGCGATTAGGAAGTGTACAGAGGAGGGTGAGCGGGCGATGATTAACTTCTTTTGTTTTGTTTTTTGTTATCTTTTGGTGTACATGTTGTGGGTTGTGATCACTATTGAATTTGAATGCTTTAATGTTTCATTGGTTGGATTGACGTACTGTTGTTGTTGTCGAGTTTAGCTATGCTGTCCTTGGCAATTTGGCAGTTGTACATAGGGATGGAGGAGGATGTCCTAAGAATCCAATGTTAGGCACTGCTGGAATTGTCTGACTATTAGAATCGCATGATGATTGATGGCGGATAAGACAAGGCCAGAACCAGAATCCTAACCCCTCTCCTGAAATCTAGCTCCCCTTTTTTTTTTTTTTTTTTTTTTCACTCTAATAAACTATGAAGTTAATTCAGACCAAAAAGAAAAAAAACCATAGAGTTAATGGCCCAAATTTTTTTTTATCGGTCCTTATTTCATGTCTTGATCAAGTTAATGACACTATTCTCTCTCTCTTTCCTCAAGCCAAAGATAAAAATTTAGACATATCTCTTTCTCTATATAATCATACGATAGTCTTCATTCACGAGCATGCGCTACTCTTCATTCATTTGCGCCGTTATAAAACTTTACAAACAAAATGAATAACTTATAATTAGATGGGATACAATCCTTGATATTGTTTTCTTTCTTTTCACCACTTTGTAATTTCTTTTTTCTGAGAAACAAACGGTAAATGACATTTTCCTAATATTTTTAAATAACTATAGATATTTTGAGTATTACATTGATGAGGGCTGATGGAAGCTCAAAAAATGAGAGAAAAGATATCTTTTCCCACTTCCCATGCTTTGCTTTTATATAAGTCCATGAAAAGTAGGTCATAAGAAAGACAAAAATAGGGGATAAGTGCATTGAAAGTCCCAATATTTGTCACAAAATTGCAATTGGATCTAAGACTTTCAAAAAGTGTAATCAAGTCTTAAAACTTGTTACGAAAGTGCAATCGAGTCCTAAACATTTCAAAAAATGTAATTAATGGAAGGACTTAATTGGACCAATTTGATAAATATTAAAACTCGATTGCACTTTTTGAAAATTTTAGGACTCGATTGTATTTTCGTAACAAGTTTTAGGACCTCCAATGTACTTATCCATAAAAAAAAAAACAGTATTGCCAAAGGAAAGAAAAGGCTGTGTCGCATTGAGAATACCTTATGGTCTCCAGAGTTTTGTTTGTGTTTTGAAATGATCCTTTGCTTAGTTATTGCCAAAATTCCAAACTTGTTAATATCACCAAAGTCAATTTTCTTTTTTCCAATTGAAGGTGTGACGACCCATACCTTAGGCGGCGGGCACAAGATGAGGGATGGCAGGGGAGGCTGCGCCTCTACCATGGAGGTGCGTGGGGCGAGGCTGAGCGTATGTCTCTTGTCCCACATCGTTAATGGGGAAGTCCTGGGTTAATTGATAAGGCTTAGGGTTTTTCACTTTGTGTAACGTGTTTTAAAGCCGTAAAGGCCAGTAGGCCTAAAACCGACAATATTACAAGGTGGTAGCAACCCAAGACTCCCCCTCTCGGCGATGTGGGACAAAAGACATGCGCCTCGCCTCGCCCCGCGCACCTCCATGGTAGAGGCGCAGCCTCCCTTGCCATCCCTCATCCTGCGACCACCGCTTATCTAATGCGACAGATATAAGGAAACTGTGGAACACCTAAATTACAATGAAGCGATGATGAATTCGCGACTAGACTACAGCCGATGTTGATGTTCTAGCACCGACAAGTCGGTGATACGGTGAAAAGATGTCTCCAAGTACAACTTTTTCATTGCCAAAATCATGGGCAGTAACTTTTCACATGAAAGTAGCGATTGTAATAATATGTTTTTCCTCCATTTTCGGTTGGGGAAAATTCCCTTTCGTAATGATTTGTAGGCTATAAGTTACGGTCATCAGCCACGTCGGGCTGTGAATCGCTATCAACGGCCCTTTTCATTGTCTGTCGCGCTCTTTAGTTGTTAACACGACTCATATATTTTTCCACCTATAACCCAATACCTCTCACTCACTCTCCACAACCTATGTTAGGCAACCAAATTTGCTCACCAGCATCCATTGTCGCATCGGTCGCCGCCACCACATCGGTCGCCGCCTACCTCCACGGCCGTGGAGGCCACGCAAGCTCGCGGCTCCAACTCCCTCCCTTGACCGACAAAGTCCCTTGGGATGCCATTTCCTTCACTCCAGATTTGTTCACTCTACCCTAGATCTTGGCAAGGCCTCGGCGAGATTCAGCAATTGCCATCAAGATTATGAGGTTTTGTTGGACCGTTGCCAAGTGTTCGAAAAGTTTTAATTATTTAAATGGAAGTGTGATTTAGTACTTATATTCTGACAAAGATAATACGGAATCCTTCGGGGATGGCCAAATTTGGAGGGGACTTCCAAACATGGTCGTCGACGACGACAAGGCAGAACTTGCCATGCTGTGTCGAGCTCTTTCACGACCAACCAAAAACATGGTCGCGTGAGGGTGATGGTGATGGTGATGGCTCGATGAGGTGAGAGAGACAAGAGAGAGAGATAGATGGAGAGAGCACAAGTCCAGTCTAAAAATTAAATAGTAAAAAAAAATCCCGTGTGCCACGTGTCGAGTATCCCTGAGTGCGGCACACGGCGGGCTTACAGATCATGGCAGATGATCCATGTCTCCTACATTGGATGACGTTTGTAACTCGTAACCTATCAATTAAAGACATTGTCGAGGAGATTTTTTTCAAATCGGGATGGAGGAGAATATAGGCCCGGTCTTTTTATATTTCCAAGAACAAAGGAATGAAATTCGGGTCCGTTCGTTTGGCATAAAATATTCTCTCGAAAATATTTTCCTGTTTCTGTTCGGGGCGGAAAACGTTTTCTGTGGGAAAATATTTTCCTTCCCCTCACAAAATAGCCTAAATTTCGGAAAAACGACTTCCGCTTCTTCAAAAGCGGAAATCATTTTTCTGAGCTTCTTCTTCTTCTTCTTCACTAAGATCGCGGCCGCCGCCGCCGCTGTCGCCGGCGAAAAATATTTTCCGAAATTTTTCATATTGGTCGCCGAACACCGGAAAATTATGTTCCGAGAAAATATTTTTCGGAAAATAACTTCCTGAAAATATTTTCCGCCAAACGAACTGACCAATTTCAAGTTTTTTTCTCATTGTCCTAATATTGGGCCGAAGCGGTACACTGGCCCGGCCCAAACCCGAATTTTTCTTTTCTGTGGTCGACTTTGCCGTTCTTCCTCCTCCTTCTCTCTCAGGCTCAGGAAGCACCACCGAGCGCGCAGCACAACCAGGTAGCATCATCTCTGCCTTTCGCTAGATCTTTTCAAGTTAGTTTCTTCAAATTCTGATTCTAGTCCTCTCTCTAGTTTTCTAGGCGTAAAGGGTTCAGATGACTTTGATCAAGTGTGGGTATTTAACATGGTTTGGTGCTTTTTCGGGAGTTTCGGTCTGGTAATTTGTTCACGGGTCTTAGGATGGTGTACGTTTTGATTGCCAAGTTGCTGCCTTTTTTGGCAAATAGGAAAGGGGTTTCGGGTCTTTGACGTGGAAAAAATTGAGTCTTGAGGGGTTGAAGGAGGATTAAGGACTATATATGCTTGGGGTGAAAGGAGGAGTGGATGAGAAGACAGAGGAATTTTGAGGGCTTTGTGTGACTAATGGCATCATGATATCCATTGTTGAGCAAGCAGTGAGCTCTCTTTGCTTGCACCTTTTCTTCCATAGTGAGGAGGGTATGAAGCTGGAAAAGTGCTGCTCCTTCGAAGCTCACAATGGTCTGTCTAAGAACCCCAATTCAATGTAGTAAGCTATGGAAGAGTTGCTGGATGGATTAAATTTGGAGTCGGGATTGTTCTTGATTTGGGCGAGTCTTATCTGGGTCGATTGTTAGTCTGTCCTTAGTTCAACATGATTTAACATCATATACAACTAGGGCAGAACATGTTTAATTCTTGCTGCAAATTGTTTATAATGATCTTGTCAGTTATAAGAATATCAAGTGCTACATTCTCCATCTGATTATGATTAAATTCTGTTCTTCATTCAGTGACAACTTCAATCCTTCAACTTCGCTTTTGCTGTAGTACTTCGGCTTAGCAATAGGGATGGAGACCACGAGCCAAGAACTTCTGAAACTAGAGAAAAAGGGTTTCTCTGCCTCATCTATAGGTAGTGATTTATTTTACCTCTAATTTTGATGTTTGGATCGTAAGAGTGGCTCTGTTCGCGTGGGTCAAAATATGTGCGTCGATTATTGCCATTGTGTGATTTTATTTTACGTGCTTTAACATGCAGAGTCCACACTGTCTATCTGTAAAAATAAGGATTCACGCTCTCAAAGAAAGCGGCAGCACCTCAGTGGAAAGCCATTAACAAGTTCAGTTCCTACGAGCCAAGGTTGTGAATTCGTCATCTAATCATTTCGATCAGCATAATATCTTTTGACAACTATAAGCTGGTTTATGTTCATCTCATAATTCATGAAAATGGCTGTTTAGACGAATTAATTTCCTGAAAACTATGAAACAATGGGCTAGGAGGCTTTTTGTATGGTGGGTAAACTTCCAAGATATCAGGGTTGATTGGATATGGTTGTGTGGTGTGTACCACCCCTTAGCATGGTTTCAATAACTTATTCTTTTGTTTCCAAAAAGAGTCAATTCCTTTGTCTGTTTGGCTTTGCTGCAGTTCTTGGAAAAGTGAAAGATTTTCTGGGAGTTTTATCTGAAGCTAATAACAAACTGCAGGTCGATGCAAAGGTTTGGAAAATCATCTTGCTCCTCCTGTGACATTGTCTTTCTCGCATTGATACGACTTGTTATGACCTATCACGCACAACTCTTGGTTTATTATGTAGGACAATCCTGAAAGCTATGACATTGAAGTTCTCGACGGGAACGAATCAGAAATAATAGAAATGGTACTTTTTGCTGCTCTTTTGTCTACCCTGGTATAGCTTTTGGGTGATGGAACCATCAGCTGATGCTTTTGCACTTATAAAACAGGACTTGATGCTGGGGATCGCTGATCTTCACACCCCTGAAGCAGTAGCAGCTGCAGAATCTGCAGCCGCGAGTTGTTATCCTCCGATTCCATTAGCTTCTAGCACTGGCGAAACAGATTCAGAAGATACCACCGACGATGACGACAACAAAAATGACAATGAGAATAGTGATGACGATCACGGTATTTGCCAAGCGGGAGTTCCCACAAAGCACCCGAGGTCCGAGTCTGGTGAAGACGATCCGTGTGGAGGGATCGGAAACAAACAGTTGAAAAAGAAACCGAAAAAGCGTACCAAGATTATCGAGTTATGATGATTTGTGTTTCGTTTTGCTGACTTCCTACATAGTAACGAGAGAAATGCACAGGTAGGAAGTTCTTGACAGGATGCGTCGTCTAGCGACAACAGACTTACAATATGAATGTTTCAAATAGGGATTTATTCCGGTAATCGTATGAAAGATACGAGTTTATTTAGAACTTCAATAGACCGTTCAATACGGCCGCTCGCCCTCGTAGTTGCCGGGAGGATCATAGTTGCATATCACGAACAACCACCCGTTATTGCACTTCACTCTAGCGCATCCTAGATGAACAGAGTTGCGCCACACGACTTGAGTGTAGTGCAAGCACTCGCCTCCTACGCAGGAGTTTGAGTCGTAGTCATAGTTGCCCTTCTCTCCCACCCACATCTTCACCGAGTCTCTGCCGCTCAGGATGCCATAGCCCTCGGCCAGGTTCTCGCCGAAGGGCCCTCCGGAGTGCTCGAGGTTGCAGTCTCCGATCCGCTCGTTCGCGTACTTCTGAGCGTAAGCCGCGACCGTACTGTTCCAAGCGATTGGGCCGACCCCCACTTCAGCACGAGCGGCGTTGTGCTCGTCGACGAAGTCTTGGTGGGAGTTCTGTGCCGCTGCGAATCCGGCAAGGGAACAAATCAGGCCAATGAGGAGTATGGATATGGCTAGTGAAGGTATGAGCAATTTCATGTTTGAAGCTTCAAGCGGGGCAATCGAAAACGGATCTTGGTGCAATGGAATGTATGGATGATAACTTGTAATGTTATAAGGAGTATTTATAGGAGTAATACCGGTGGAATCAAAGGCAATTATGTATTTATTGAAAGCGACGTTACACATTTTTGGTTTATTTAGGAAGTTTAGCATTGTAATAGCGAAATCAAGGTTCACGGGCCTGTCCTGATGAGCTGCATCCATCCCCTTGATTTACTGTTTTCCTTAACCAAGGAAAATTACCAAAAAAGTCCTAAACCTTTTATAATTGTGCCAATTCGTCTTAAACCTTTTATAATTATGCCAATTGGTCCATCCGCCACTTTTGGCCGTGGCCGTGGATGCCGACGTGGTGACGTGGCATTATTTTAATATTTTTTCCTTTTTTTTTGTTCTTTCTTCCCCGCCGGGGCTCGCCGACGAGGTGACCTCGCGGCCATGGGCGACGGCGAGGCCTCGCCGGATGCGGCGAGGCCTCGCCTTCGGCCATGGCGAGGTCGAGCTCGCCGCCATGGGGGATGGCGAGGCCTCGCCCGGATCCGCGAGACCTCGCCGTCGTTAGGCCTCGCCCAGGCGAGCTCGATCTCGCCATGGCGCGGCGAGGTCTCGCCCGGATGGCGAGGCCTCGCCGTCGCAGGTGAGGCCTCGGCCTCGCCCATGGCCGGCGAGGTAACCTCGCCGGCGAGCCTCCCCTTGGCCAGACCGGCCAGGGGGAAGAAGGAAAAAAAAAAAAAAAGGAAAAAAATATTAAAATAATGCCACGTCAGCTGGCCGGCGTCCACGTCAGCGCCGGCAGGCCAAAAGTGGTCGGATGGACTGAATTGGCACAATTGTAAAAGGTTTAAGACTGAAATGGCAAAAAAAAAAAGGTTGAGGACTGAATTGGTACAATTGTAAAAGGTTTAGGACTTTTTTGATAATTTTCCCCCTAAACCAAGAACAAATAACCAAAACTAAAACCCGCATTAAAAAATAAAAATCACCGGCGATCCGGCGGGGTTGTTGTCGATTTGTGCCGGACGACGCTCCTGCCGATATCAGATCATGTAATTTACTTATGCTCGGTAATTTCGACATGTAAAATTAGAAAATCGAAAGCTCGAAAGTTTGGCCTCTCTTCCTAAGATGGCAATCGAGAAGTATACACAACCCAGTAATTGTTGCAATCTTGGTGCAATAGTGAAGTCATGTGACACCCATCGTTATCATGAAGAAGAAAAACGCCATGCATGAATTTTTTACGACTTACAAAAATACAACTTTCGGAGCATACCCTAAAAAGGAAGAAGAAAAAAGAAGAAGAAAATGATAGAATTTTAAATTGGGAAGTGAAAGTTTCTTTCATTAACCACGTGTATAAACCGTCCAAAAACTCCGACGTTGCCACGATTGCGATTCGCGAACCGACATCGTCACGGATCAGATTATGCACAACACTTTTCGTGAATTGCTCCCTTATAATTCCACAATTATCTCTCGTTATTGAACGGTGATAATTAGGATCTATTCACGCCACAAAATTAATAGAAATAGAAAGGAATGTAGGCCACATATAGAATTTCACATGAAATGTTCACATGAAAAATGCTATGCTTGTGCATTTGGTCATTAAAAGAATTGGAAATTTTTTTTCTCATAACTTGTATTTTACATGAAAAGAAATTTGCATTGGCCAAAATTCCCATGTTACATTCTCCATATAGAATGGTCCTTGGATATTTTTCCTTTTCGTTTTCATCATAATAAATTAGATTATATCGAATGCTCTGTGGATCTCGTGGGATTTGTGAAACTAAAGAATTAGACTCATTCGTTGTTGCCTCCATCGCACACTTTGAAAAGGGGGCCGATGTTTCTCGACGAGCCCATCTCATGTCCATGCCGGCGATTGCCCGTGCCCGGTCAATATGGCCGTGGACGAAACCACAAAGACGCTGATTTCGTGTATTCCGGCCGAAAAAGTGTAAGCACTCGTTGCGTCTATGTAAGAAATGGACAATTAAAAGATTCAATCTGTTTACGAATTGTTTTAATCATTAAATAAGGAGAAGAAACTATTGATGAAAATATAATGTACAAAGAAATTGCACTTATGGAAAAGAATTTTTTCTGAGATTTAAAATCATTTAAAGAAAATTATTGTAGATTATAAACTACCATAATGTTATAAGTGTGAGAGATAAAATGAGTTTATGCATTTATCACGTGTAATTACAATTACTTGACCAGAAAAAAAAAGACGATTGAAATTCCTTAAAAGTAAGAGACTCTCTTTATTTTATATAATACGACATATAAATAAGAATTTTTGAAAGGCAAATAATATTTCCACACCCAAAACATCTTATTCCACAACCATTTTAAACACTAAATTTTGGTTGAACTAATCTACCCTTAACTACTCATGCACAATCTAAAGTTTAAATTCTTCCAAATTAGAAAGACAAATATGACCAAAGAAGTTTGAACTTTTTCTCTTTCTTTCTTTCATGGCAGAAGAGCTAACTCGACTAACGTTTTGCTTTATCACTGAGAGATTACTATTGTACGCTTCATTTATTTCGCAAAAAATAAATAATTTGAAAAATATTTTACTAAAAATGATTGTTTGTATCGCTTGAAATAATTGGCCAATGAAAAATATTTTCATTATTTACAACAATTTATGTTTTTTTCGTGGACGATGAAAATATTTTTCGTTAATTCGTTTTTGTAAGCATTATAAGCAATAATTATTAGGAAAATATTTTTCAAATCGTTCATTTTCTGCGAAACAAATGAAGTCTTAAAGTGTAGTTTATTTAATCAAGTGACTATTTGACCAAAGAAAATCAAGTGAATAAATTGCACCTAATAAAGACATTCACTTAAGTTTAAGAGACAATAAAGTTAATTGTAAAAAGTACCATAAGTTTAACATTGATTTATCAATGTTGTAACTTTGAGATCACAGAAAAATTATTTTCTGTTAAGTATGAATGATATTCTTTTACATTTCATGTGGCTTTGCTCTTTTCCGGCATAATATTAAAACCTTTTTGAAAAGCACGACTTTAATGTGTATTTGAAAAGTACTATAGTGTCCATTCCTTTTAAAAAAAAAAGGTACTTATCATCCCAACATCAATATAAATAAAAGTTGTGATTTCGAGATCACAAAAAATTAATTTTTGTTCTATACGAGGCATATTCTTTTATATCTTATGTAGCTTTTTTCCTTTCTTTTAAATTCCATTATAACCTTTTAGAAATGGATAATGACGCAAATGGTCCATAAACTTTGGCTCAATATTCAATGTAGTCCATGAATTTTTAATTTATTTAATGTGATCATTAGACTTTTTGTACATGTTCAATGTAATCCCTAAACTATATGAAAATATTCAATGTTGTCCTTTCATTAATTTAAGTTCGGGGAAAACATTGACCATTTTCATATAATCTGGGGACTAAATCAAATATGTACAAAAAGTTAATAGATTATATTAAACAAATTAAAAGTTCAGAGACGATATTGCATATTGGACAAAGTTCGGGAATTTTTTGCGTCATTTTCCCTTTTAGGAAACTATAACGTTTTTTGATTTTAGTATAAATTTTATGGGCCTAATTCCCTAAAAAATCCCAAACTTTAGGTCAAGTCCCAAACTTTAAGTCCAATCCCAAATCTGTCCCAAATTTTATTTTGTATAAAAAAAATCACCAAAATTCAATTTATTTTAAAAAATATACCCCCGTCATTCAGTCCTAACTTGACGTGGCACTTCCACGTCGATAAAGTAATTGGGCTTCTTTTTAGACATAAAAGTTCGGGGCGAATTTGGACTGAACCTAAAAATAGGGTTTTTTTTTTAAATTAATTTTTTTTTCTGGGATGGATTTGTTATCATCCCTAACTTTCATATCCTAGAACGGTTTTATTTTGGAGAATTTCAACAATTTTTATTGGGTTGGATTTGTTATCGAAATGAAAATGCGACATCGACCTGTATCTATAGCCTCGTTACTTTGCTGATGTGAATTTATTATCGACGTAGAAGTGCCACGTCAAGTTGGGATTGGTTCACAGGGGTATATTTTTGAAAATAAATTGAAATTTGCTGATTTTTTTTTACACAAAACAAATTTCGGGAAAGATTTGGGACTGAACTTAAAATTTGGGATTTTTTCTAAGATGAAAAAAAATTCATGGCAGATTTGGGACTGGACCTAAAGTTTGGGGTTTTTTCTTAGACAAAAAAAAGTTCGGGGCAAATTTGGGACTTGACCTAAGGTTGGGGTTTTTTTTAGGGAGTTCACCCAAATTTTATGCATTTGAAATTCATGTATATTAAATAAGGCAAAAGGACACTACAAGTGCCATAAGTTGTGTACGGAGATTACTTTGGTGCCATAACTTTTTTTCGGATCACTTTGGTGCCAAGTCGGAGGAAAATAGATCACTTAAGTGCCAACTCCGGTAAGTTTGGCCGGAAATCCGACGTGGCATTTTTTTATTAATTTCTGACGCCGACGTGGCTCGCCGGAAGATGAGTCAACGTGTATAGTCAGCATTTTTTATTTTAAATAATTTTTTCTTTTTTTTTCCTCTTCTTTCCTTTTTCCTTTCTTTTCTTTTTTTTCTTTTCTTCCCTCGCTGGCCAGTTGCCGGCCGGGCCGGTCACCGGGGAAGCCCGGGAAGGGCTGGGCGAGGGGCGACCTCGTCTGTCGCTGGCAAGGGTCGCCTCACCCAGATCTGGCGAGGCCGCCCCTCGATGGCCATGGGCGAGGGATGGCCTCGCCAGCCGCCGGCGAGGGTCGCCTCGCCCAGATCTGGCGAGGCCGCCCTTCGCCCATGGCCGGGCGAGGGGCGGCCTCGCCTGTTGCCGGCGAGGGTCGCCTCGCCCAGATCTGGGCGAGGCCGCCCCTCGCCGGCCATGGGCAAGGCCGCCCTTGCCCAGCCCTTCCCGGGCTTCGCCGGTGGTCGGCCCGGCCATCGGCAACTGGCCGGCGAGGGAAGTAAAGAAAAAAAAGAAAAGAAAGGAAAAAGGAAAGAAGAGGAAAAAAAAAGGAAAAAAATTATTTAAAATAAAAAATGCTAACTGTACACGATGACTAATCCTCCAGCGAGCCACGTCGGCGTCAGAAATTAATAAAAAATGCCACGTCGAATTTCCGGCTAAACTTACCGGAGTTGGCACTTAAGTGATCTCTTTTCCTCCGACTTGGCACCAAAGTGATCCGAAAAAAAGTTATGGCACCAAAGTGATCTCCGTACACAACTGATGACACTTGTAGTGTCCTTTTGCCTATTAAATAACTTATACTGCTTCAATATATTTCGCAACCAGAGGGTTCTTCTTGCTGTTCGCAAAACGAGCGCCCCTGCACAAGCAAATCACTCGCCATCGCTCCTCCGTCGCATCGCTTCGCATTCGCTTCTCTCTCTACCGAACGTGGCGAACTCGTAACCCTGCAACGGATATCGACGATTGCCCTCGAATTATAACGTAAGTTTCCGACTGCACCGGTGCATCAACTCATCTTCCTCTCCCATTTTTCAATTGCCCGAGGAAAAACCGCTTCAGGTATCGAGTTTTCTGAGGTTTTTCCTCGTATGTGTTCGTAATGGACATTGGCCGACGAGGAACGATGTCGACCCATCACTCGGACACACGAAATATTTGTCATGGTCGTGTGTTCAGAATCCGGGCCACGTCCGCCACCCCACGTTGGATGGAGAGCTCTACGTGCATATACTGGTTCTGAACGACGAAGATCGATTGCATCACCTCGTTTATAATGGTGATGCGTTTTGTCCCTGATGTACTCTTGGCCTCTCCAAGAGATTGTTCGCGTGAGGCACGAGTGCTTATCAAATTTTTTTTTGTCCTTTTTGGCCGTTGTCTTGGAAGCAATTGAGTCTGTGGGAAACTTAGGGTGCGCATGAATACCATTCTGTGCCCGGGCGCTATTTCTGAACAGAAATGATTTTTTTTGATTCTGTACCCGGAAACAATTTCTGAGTATTTAAAGGCGTTTGATAAATGTCCAAAATTTCTATTACTAGAGTAGAAAAGAACAGAAATGCGTTTGGTAACTACACAAAATTTCTGTTCCCAAATAATATTTTAATAATATTTTGAATTGTTTAATTTTTTTTTTCTACTTTCTTCTTTGGCCATGGCCGGTCGCCGGTCGCCGGCGACCGGCCACACCCCCCGAGCCGGCGAGGGCATCACGGACCTCGCCGGCGGCGGCGGAGGCGAGGTCGCCCTCGCCGGCGGGGCGAGGCGGACCCTCGCCGCACAGGCGAGGCCGACCTCGCCGTCATGACGGACGGCGAGGCTCGGCCTCGCTCGATCTGGGCGAGGCCGCCTCGCCCAGGCGGCGAGGGTCCAGCCCTCGCCCTCGCCGGCGAGGGCCGTGACGCCCTCGCCGGCCCTGCAGAGGCCGTCAGGCCGCGAGACCGGCGACGCGGCCGGCTCAACAGGAAGAACAACACACAAAATAAGAAATGAAAAAAAAAAAAAAAAAAAAAACGATTCTCAAAATTGTCTAAAAACAAGAAGCAACTTTTTTACTTCTTGTTTCTCTTCCAAAACTATTTCTCGGCACAAATTTTTGCAAAAATGTGCCGAGGAAGAAAAAGTTTACCAAACGCATTTCTGTTCCCAAACTATTTCTGGGAACAAAAGAACAGAAATTTTCACTATTTGGCACGTTACCAAACGGGCCCTTAACATTAATTTTTTTATTTTTTTTCTTGATTGTGGTGATTGATTTCATCACCTGGTTAAGAATTCAAGCCCAAATGACAAATATCAAACACAGTAGAAAGCGAAGACCCCGAGGTTCTCGCGTCAGACTACATCGTGCAGGGAATCTTTTCAAACTTCATTAACGTGCGATTCGTGCTGACTGTCGCGTCAGTTTTTTATTAATTATTCATAAGTAACTGCTGAAATCAGGTTTTCTTGCATCATTCAAAGCTATTGGCAGATACCCACTTGCATGTTTGCCATTTTTTTAGTAGCTTAATTGCTAAAGGACAAGAAGCTAAATATCTGGTTTGAGATAATTGTGAGTGGACGAGATTCTCCGTTGTTTCCCCGGTTATACAAGGCTACTTTCTTTGGCGGCTCTCTCTCATAACAGATACATTCACTCTTTTTTGCTCCGTTTTGCAGCCTGAAACTGTATCTTCTTCCTGTACCAAATGGCTCCATCACTGAATTCAACTACTGAAGCCAATGCCAACAGGTAATCTATGTAAACTGCCTGTCACCTTGGCTCTGATCGACTAGCGTTTGCAGTGATCTTTAGTCACTGTTATTCTTAAAGTTCCTTCTGTTTCGGCAAATATCCTTTCTAGTTCCACAGCATTTGCTTGAATAGGCTTTTCTATATTATCACATATGTGCATTTTTTGGCTAATTTCTCTTGTTGGAATCACAGCAATAATGATGAGAAGTATCCTGATGTCAACTGGGAAGAAATGGGATTTTCTTTGACTCCAACTGACTATATGTATGTGATGAAATGCTCTATTGGCGAGAACTTTTCTCAGGGAAGTCTAATTCCTTATGGTAATATCGAGCTAAGCCCTTCTTCCGGTATTCTCAATTACGGACAGGTGAGCAGCATCAATAAGTTGTCTTACTTTAATTGTCGAAAGGGCAGTCCTATTAACGAGTTCTCTTGGAGCACTTGTTAACCATACTTAGTGAGAAATGGTACCGTTTCCAAAATAACAACAGTCTGTCGCATGTAGGGAGTGTTTGAAGGCTTGAAGGCATACAGGAAGGAAGATGGCCGAATTTTGCTTTTCCGACCTGAACAGAATGCTTTGCGGATGAAGGCAGGTGCAGAGAGAATGTGCATGCCTTCACCTTCTACTGAGCAGTTTGTTGCTGCAGTGAAGCAAACTGTCCTGGCCAATGAACGCTGGGTAATTTAGTTCTTTCGAAGCACTAGCATGCCTTGGTCCTATGTCGAGTTTTCTTTCAATGTGTGTAATGCCTTCAAATTGCGAGTTTTCTCAATTGGTGTGACGTGCCTTTGTATTTTCTGGTTGAACATTCAAACAGGTGCCTCCTTTTGGGAAGGGATCTATGTATGTAAGGCCTTTGCTCATGGGAAGTGGCGCTACTCTGGGATTAGGGCCAGCGCCGGAATACACATTCTTAGTCTATGTTTCGCCTGTTGGAAGCTATCATAAGGTATAAGATTGCTCTCACCGAACCACCATTTGTTCTCACTTAGGTTAAAAAAGAGAAAACAATGACAAAATGACATTCACTTGAACGACCTTCACAAGACTCTTTAATTTTCAGTTGCTTGATGCATACCTCGGTTCATTTGCATGATTGTGATCCTAGACATTGGAGTCGATAAGCGTAGTATGCGTTTCCTTGTGAAATGAATATCTAATGTGCTAACCAACTCGAAGCTGGTTTTGCTTATGAGGCGATGAAGTGACTCTTAGTACTGACAAAGTTTGGCTTCTTCATCACACTAGGGCCAGAGGTCCCTGAACCTGGTGGTTGAGGAGAAGCATCATCGAGCTTCTTCTGGTGGAACGGGAGGCATCAAGACTGTGGCCAACTATTCACCGGTAATTACCAAAATTGTCAAATTGTTATTAGACACTTCCATGTGTTCATGCATGTTGAAGTCTTTTAGTTAGTATTTCTCTGACAAGTGTCTTAACCAGAGGCATTTAATATTTATGGATTCCAAATACTGATCTTATATTTTGGATCTCCCGGGGTGTTTCCAATAACCCATTTTACTCGCTTATTCTCGTAGGTTTTGAACGCACTGTCTAGAGCAAAGGCGCAAGGTTTTTCTGAGGTTGTATTCCTGGATGCTGCAACTGGAAAGTATATTGATGAGGCTTCTGCATGTAACCTTTTTTCGGTGAAGGTCAGTTTCAAGTGGTCTATTCTAGCACAATTTGTAACATTATGCTTCTTTTGTCCTACAAGATTCATAAGGTTTGGAAGGAATTGAATGTATAGTTGAACAGAATCTGATCAGTTGGCTAGTATCTTTTGCTTGAAAAACTGAAGAGGCGCTGTTCCTAGATTTGTGTGATTTCAAGGAAGACGACGCTGCTGTGGCACTGACAAGGAACTTCGCCTTCTGCTGTTGTCTTGTCGTACATGAAAGAATTTTGGAGAACACCAACTAGCTGCAAATATATATGGGAATCGTTGCTTTTGATAATGAGATATTCATTAATATTGGATTAGTATACTTACAGTTGCTTGTTATTGCAGGGAAATACCATATCAACTCCTCCAACACATGGAATAATCCTTCCTGGTATCACAAGAAAAAGCATAATTGAAATTGCTCGTACGCTTGGTTACCAGGTGATTATGTTCACACTATGTTTTTTATTGATTGGATTTTGCAATCAAAATGTTTTGCTTTGCAAATTGATTATTTGAATAGGAGCACAAACAAGTCAAGAGAGAACTCCCTGAAACGAAATCATCCATGTCAGGATGTCTTGCTTGCTCCGTCTCGATAAGATTTTGAGCCCTTTATGATTATTAGTTAAATTGAATTGTCTGTCGAATTCATGATGCCATATGGGAGGATAGTTGGGCTAATATGCGGAATTATGTTTCCTTTCTTCCGATAACTTGACAGGTCGAGGAACGTCATGTCACGATCGATGAATTGCTGGATGCCGATGAAGCTTTCTGCACAGGAACCGCCGTGGTTGTCACATCCATTGGCAGTGTAACTCATCAGGGTAGAAGGTAACTCAGCTGGCATCTTCATCTGCCGACATATCCCTTTTACTGATTTACCATTTCTCTCTAGCATAAGAAAGAGTCTGCTGCCGTGCCATTTACGGATGGACTACGCCTCAGTGAATCGAAATTAGTGCAATCGTATCTGCGCCGTTCATTGGTATGGCTCCTTGACACCGCTATACTTAATCTCATGATGCAGGGTCGAGTATAAAACACAAGCAGATACAGCTTGTCAGAAGCTGCGTGAAACCTTGACGGGGATTCAAATGGGTATGCTTGAAGATACCATGGGTTGGATGGTGGAGGTCAATTGAGCTGTTGTTTGTCAGATTTATGTTGTAGAAAGACTTCCAACCTTTTGACTCTGTGGATGCTTTTGGTATTGGCATTATGTTTTCTAGCATTTCATGAGATTTTCGGTTGTTGCATGACGCTGGTCAAACATCTCAGAGAAACGAAAGCGTGAGAATTTGAAATATACCGAAACCCTTTCTTAGGATCGCCGAGACAAGCAAAACCAAAGTAGTTCGGATATCTTATAGAGGGTGAAATAGTTTGATTCTCACGGTATTGATTATAACTATTACGATAACAAATGGTATGTCGATATTGTAAGAGTCTTTAATTGGTTAATTAATAATTTTTCATGACACAGGTTTATTTTTTATGGAACAAGCCATACTTATTTTATATATATTAAAATTATTTAAAACAAATATGCCTTCCGAAGTAATTTGCTAGAAAAGTAATTAAATCTTATTTCCAAGAGAAATATGTGACTATATTATGACAGATTCTTAACGTGAAGATCTAGCTATGGTGCATTGAACACTCTGTAAACATGTAATTAACTATAACAAAATGTTGTGACTTTGCCACTACAAAAAGTTAATTTTTGTTAAATACGAGTCGTTTTCCTTTATATTTTATGTAACTTTATTCCTTTCGTTCGAAATCCATTATCTTGTACAGAATTGAAACCTTTTCCAAAAGCATAGCATATTTCAGATTTTATTTTACTTTTTCTGCTTTTGAAACTCACTCATTTTAGATAACTTATACTGCTTCAGTTCATTTTGCAACCAGAGGTCTGCTTGCTTTTCATTGAACGAGCATGTTAGTTTGCGATAGAAAGAGAAAGGGTGAGGTAATGTAAGGTTAGAGGGCGACTAAGTGCGAATGGTAACCATTCTGCTCCAAAAATCAAATTCTTGCCAAAAATTGATTTCTGGAATTCTTGCCAGAAATTAATTTCTGGAGGAGAAATCTGTTTGGTAAAGCATGACTAATTCTGCTCCAGAAATTGATTTCTGGAACAGAAATCTGTTTTGATTTGTTAATTTTTTTTGCACCTAAAAAAATTTAAATTTTACTCAAAGTGGGTGGTCACAGGTATTATAAGCCATTCTGTAAAGTTTTGAAATTTTTGATTTTTAAAATTTTTTTTGGGCACCTAAAAAAATTTAAATTTCACTCAAAGTGGGTGACCACAGGTATTCTAAGCCATTTTGTGAAGTTTTGAATTTTTTTATTATTTTTTATTTTTTTGGGCACCTGAAAAAATTTAAATTTCACTCAAAGTGGGTGGCCACAGGTATTCTAAGCCATTCTGTGAAGTTTTGAAATTTTTTATTATTTTTTGGGCACCTCAAAAAATTTAAATTTCACTCAAAGTGGGTGGCTACAGGTATTCTAAGCCATTCTGTGAAGTTTTGAAAATTTTTATTTTATTATTATTTTTCTTTTTTTTTGGTACCTCAAAAAATTTAAATTTCACTCAAAGTAGGTGGCCACGGGTATTTTAAGCTATTCTGTGAAGTTTTGAAATTTTTTTATTTTTAAAAAAAAAATTCACCAAATTTCATATTTTCCCGAAATCTGACTTTTTTTATTTTCTGGAAATTTTTATGATTTTTTCTAGAATTTTTCGATTTTTATGCATTTTCTGAAAAAAAAAATTATGAGAAAATAGGGAGAATGCATTCCGGAATCAAGAAGCTACAAAAAGTAGCTTCTCTTTTTCTTGCCAAAAACTCATTCCGGAATCAAAAATGCATTCCGGAATCAAGAATGCATTCTGGAATCAAGTATTTTTAACAAACGCATTTTTATTCCAGAATGCAAAAATTGCTCCAAAATGCATTCTGGAAATTTTTTAACAAACGCCATTCTGTTCCGGAATGCATTCCGGAATAGAATTTTTATTCCGGAATGCATTCCGGAATAGAATTTTTATTTCGGAATGCATTCCATGCGCACCCTAATTTTGGAGCAAAGCGAGGCCAATATGGATCCATGGATTTTGTATTACAAGGGCTTCAAGTACAAGGGATGCTTCTTTGTTAGTTTTCTGCTGCACACTCAATTGGAGAGGGCTAGGCTATGTATAGCCTTACTCGTCTTTCATTAATTAGTCTCTTCCTTATCAAATTGTTTCTTAAGTTCACTGCCCTGTGTGTGCACTTACACATTAGAATTCAAAATCTCAATAGAGTTGGTCTCCTCTTATAGTAACTATTATTACCTGTTAAGAACGACAAATAGAAGCATTGCTCATTAGTTTAAAACATGAACTCTTTTTTCGCCTTAAACAGGATATGCTCCACAATCGAACAGAGGATCAACCCAATCAGGTCCAAAAAGCTCAGAGCCTCCAACGTCCATGTCTGACCGATTTTCGAAACATGCAGATCGACATGAAAGAGGCAATCGACGAATCAATATTTAGGATAGCGGTCAGTGCATGAATTCAATAGCCAATCGATCCGTTCCTGAGTTCTGTTTTTGTGGTTACCCTCGACAAAATCGTTCGACTTCATATATCGTGAATCATGTCCTGAACACTGCCGGTTGATGCAAGCATCCCCACAAATGTTAGTGAATGGATTTGTCGGGCAGGCGTTGTGAGAACCATCGTGACACTGTTCTGTTCCTCCAGGTTGAGACTGAGCCGTCGTTCTCACAAGTTGCTCAAATGAGTGCAGCACTGTCTCCGTCAACAATCACTCGCTTTCATCCTCGATGGTGAGGACTACTGCGGCGGCCTCAGATGGCTCTGGATCGTCGCCTTCATCTTGCTAGAATTGTGTTTTAAAATAATGCAGTTAATGGCGAATAGTTGGTCGATGTGTAGCCTGGAAAAAAAAGGCTGATATAAATAAATGTTAGGAATATAAGGAGTATTACAAATCTAGGTCATCAATTGTAGCACAAAGAGAGGTTTATTTGCAGATGTACAAGGCACCGAAAGGCTTCGTTTCTGAAAAACAAGCTGAGTTCATTTTTATCCCGCGTTTCTGAAAAACAGGCTGAGTTCATTTTTATCCCGCATGCTTGCTCACTGCACCAACTCCAGTTCTTCCATCTGCACAATGTGCTCTTCCCCTTTACTTCCTGCTGAGCTCAATTCATTCGCTCAAGCACCAGCGAAGATCCTTGATGCGAACAAGCTATGCCAAACGGTATAACGTCTTACTTGCAAAACATTTGGTTTCTTTTTAACTTGTGATTTGTCTATGAATCTTGCCGGGTCTAAACGTGATTTAAAGGGTAAACAATACGATTATAGTATTCCTGGCCTGGGGAGCTGTAAAGCTTAGCTCAGTTGCCAGAGGGTATACTGAACAAAGAGGTGCTGACTTCAACCATGATATGTATGTGGTCCTGCTGCTCCCAGCTATTCTGCCTTGGCGGGTCTATATGTCCACTCGACGTTGAAAATGTTCTCTTTGACGGTCCTGAGCGAGATGTATCCAGACCTCCTGGGTTTGTGGATTCTCTGTTTCCAAAATCCTAACCACTTCCAGAATCCCATAAAGCTTTCTAATTGTTTAAAATAAGCACGGAAAAGAGACGCCTCGCACTTGGTATTCTTGCTTGCTTATACTACTCAAGTCTTATCAGCATATCCTCCCATGGGATAACCATATATTTCTGCTCCAAATTAGCCTTTGAATATATACATCGCAACAATTATTACAATGGCATGTTGTTTCGTTCAATGTGAACGAATGAATGAAAGAGGAATCATGGGAAACTTTTGAACTTGACATTCCAGTACTTGGAATGTTAGGTTGAAGAACAACTGGTGAAAAAGAAAACAAGCGTTAGATGCCGAGACCAGACTTGATCTTTTGGTACATACATGCTAAAGCAAAATATCAAAGAAAAAGATAAAAAGTAGATAGATGCTTCCAGGGGAAAAAAGTTCTCTCTCCTGTAACACCAAGAACAATCTCGAGCTCTCGAATTTCCACATATTCTGGGGAAGCTCTGGTTTGGAGGCACATTTTGCAGGGCAGCTCTCCAAAGTTTGTGAGGGCATAGCACCGAGAGCTTGTTCGAGTTAACTAGCAAAGAGATGAGGCCAGGAGGACCCGGAGGACCACCAGGGTGGGGCCCTCCTCGGCCGGGGCCGCCAGGATTTCTCGGTGGCTTTTGCGATGTCATAGGCTCTTGGTATGTGAATGTTATTTTCCCTTTGTGAGGTTGTGCAATGCGTGTGTATTGTTAGTAAGATGATTATTTTAGCAGTTCTTAATAAATAAATTGTGGAGTAAATTAAACGGATTAATTTTATTACTCAAGAAAACCAATCAGATTTCAACAAAGTGATTGTATGTAAAGAAGACGGAATCGTTATCCATTTGAAATATGCAACGTCTCAGACGTTATTGGTCCATCGACATGCCAACGACACAGGGGAGCGTGCTCCATAGTGTACATTCCTAGGAATCTTTATGCCCCTTAGATTCCACATAAATCATCAAATATTTGGAGGCTTGATTAGGGGAATCATATGTTAGAATATGTCTTACTGATTTATGCCATATCTGCTTATCTGCTCTGTTTTCATATTTCTCTGCTTCAGGGAAGCTAAGGAACCTTACTTAATGTCGTTATTGAGTCACTGCTAATGGAACCAAAGTGAACTGAGTTTTATTCTTCGTTCTGTGATGCTTCAAACAGTTTCAGCTTGTTGTGCTGTTGCTGGTTGATACGAGACTGTTTCGGCGGGCCTCTAGGCCCACCAGGCCCCCCGGGACCGCCCGGCCCATCTGGACCGCCTCACCCTTGAGCTGTCATGCGATGCTGGCTCGACCACACGGGATCACTCGAACTGGCTTCTCTCATGCCTGGTTTTTGTATTCTGTGTGTAGTGCAATAACCAGACTCTATTTCTCTGTAGGAAAGGAGCGACTTATATGAATTGCCCATCTCATGTCCGAATTCAGTTCTCAGTTTCAACGACACATTCATATAAATTGTCTATGGGAATCCTTTGTTTTCGATGATCGGTTGTTCTAGACCATGTATTTGAAGTTTATATAAGTTATGGAAGTCTTCATCAAATACTCTGTTTTCTATCGATTTCTCAGAGTTCAGTTGAGATTGCAATGCAACTAGTAGAAAAGAGCCAAAGTCTCTAGCAAGGTCATGAAATAGATGAAGACGTACTCTTGGCCTCCCCACAGGAGAGATTGTTCACGTCAGACGAATACTGATTCAAGTTTCTGTCCTATTTGGCCATTGTCCTAGAACTTGGAAGCAATCGAGTTTGTGGGAAAGTTAACTTCTATGTTTATTTTTTTCTTGATTGTGGTTTGATTTCATCACCTGGTTAAGAGTTCAAGCCCAAATAGCAATACCAAACACGGTAGAAAGCGAAGTCCAAGAGGTTCTCGTGTCAGACAACTTTGTGCATGGAATCTTTTCAAACTTCATTGACGTGCAAATCGTGCCGACTCCCATCAGTTATTTATTTATTCATTTTCATAAGAAACTGCCAAAATGAGGTCTTTGCATCGTTCGAAGCTATTGGCTGATACCCACGTGCATGTTTACCATTTCAAGTGGTCTATTCTAGCTTCGATTTGCAAAATCATGGTTCTTTTGTCATACAAGATTCATAAGGTTTGGAAGAAGTTGAATGTTTAGTTGAACAGAATCTGATCTGTTGGCTAGTATGTTTTGCTTGAAAACTGAAGTAGGTGCTGTTCCTAGATTTGTGTGATTTCAAGGAAGGCGACGTTGCTGTGGCACTGACGAGGAACTACGCCTTTTGCGATTGACTTGTCACATAAAGAATTTTGGAGAGCACCAAACATCTACAAATTTATATATGGGTATCATTGTTTTTGATAGTGAGATATTCATTGCTGTTCGATTAGTATACTTACAGTTACTTGTTATTGCAGGGAAATACCATATCAACTCCCCCAAAACATGGAATAATCCATGCAGGTATCACAAGAAAAAAGCATTATTGAAATTGCTCGTGCGCTTGGTTACCGGGTGATTATGTTCACATTATGTTTTTTATTGATTGGATTTTGCAATCAAAATGTTTCGCATTTTACGCCAACTGGGAAAGCCGTCCCTTTTTTCCTTTTGGATGATTCCTGTGGGTATGATGAAGCTCTCAAGTTACTGTCTGTCTAGGGAGGAAGATTGGGGCTATATTTGGACTATTAATGAGTATTACTGCAGATCGATCAATTGAATAGGAGCACAAACAAGTCGAGAGAACTCCCTGAAACGACATCATCCATGCCTCGGTGTCTTACTTGCCCTGTCTCAATAAGATTTTGAGCCCTTCATGATTATTACTTAAACCCAATCTGTCGAATTCATGATGGTATACGGTGGGACAGTTGAGCCCTTCCGTAAACTTGACAGGTTGAGGAATGCCCTGTCACGATCGATGAATTGCTGGATACCGACGAAGCTTTCTGTATGGGAACCGCCGGGGTTGTCACATGGATGGGCAGTGTAACTCACCAGGGTAGAAGGTACTCAGCTGGCAACTTCATCTGCTGACGCTTATTTCCACATCTCCCCCTTCTCTCTAGCATAAGAAAGAGCCTGCTGCCGTGCCATTTACGGATGGATTACGCCTCAATGAATCGAAACTAGTGCAATCGGATCTGCGCCGTTCATCGGTATGGCTCCTTGACACTGCTACTTAATCTCATGATGCAGGTTCGAGTATAAAACACAAGCAGATACAGCTTGTCAGAAGCTGCGTGAAACCTTGACGGGGATTCAAATGGGTATGCTTGAAGATACCATGGGTTAGGTGGTCGAGGTCAACTGAGTTGTTGTTTACCTTGGTGTCACTGTAACCTTTTTGACTTGTGGATGTTCCTGGCATTGGCAACATGTCTTCTCAGATTCCTTGAGATTTTCGGTCGTTGCATGACGTTGGTCGAACATCTTAGAGAAATAATGAAGCACGGGAAATAGAGATAATACCGAAACCGTCTCCTTCATCAAGGATCATCGAGAGAAGCAAAACCAAATCAGTTCGAATGTTTATAAAGGATCGCACTAACTAGTAACTACCGTCTCCAAGGAGACATGCCAAGGATACATAACATTTTTGAGAGAGAAGGATACATAAACATAACATAGTTCGATTCTTACAATATTGGTTACACCCGTGACAAGCGGTGTGTCGATATTGTGAGGCTTGTTGATTGGTTACCTAAACAATTTCTCATGACATACTTTTTAACGAAGCCCTTTTATAAATCGAAGATCCCTGAAAAACTTCTTTCATGGAATGTATTAGAATACATAAATATCAAATCATGCATTTATCTAATAGTTTAAGCTTTTAGAATAGTTGGCAGTGATCTTACAAAATCTCACATAGTTTTAGAGCAAGAGGTTGGCAATGGTCTCATAAAATCTCACAAAATGATAGGATTAAAATGGGCGACTCCGATTCTAATTCTGGACAAACACTAAACCTTAACCAAATGAACATGCATGATGAGATTTGTAATTCTAACTTCACTTGTCCATAAACGTGTAAATGCCTCGAGGGGATTTTTTTTTTATTTCATATTGTTAGAAAGTCTAACCTAAAGACTTAATCTTATAGATAGAGGAAGGCCGCATATACATAAAGAGAGCATATAAACCCTATAGTCAAGCGATGTGATATTTCTTTCTCTCTCTATATATATTAGTTTTACTTATTGTGTGTTTGTTCCGTGAAAAATGAATGATTTAGAAAATATTATCCTAAAAATAATGGCTTCTATCTCTTACAAAAATAAAAGAATGAAAAATATTTTCATTGTCCTCGAAAATATTGAGACATGAATAGTTGTTGGTGATGAAAATATTTTCTACTGACTAATTATTATAAGCGATACAAAAATTATTTTTTTAAAAAAATAAATTTTAAATTATTGATTTTTCGCAAAATAAATAAAATTTTAGCGGAAAAGGTTCATCATTGAATCATAATTTCGACTATTAAAATATCTAATCAAATTCGACCAAAAACATAATGTCACATCAACGGGGGGGTTGCGATGTGATCACTAATAATTGGCCCGTGCATTCGAGACCACCGCACGTCACGCGTTCGATCTGGCTTCTTGTCCATTATTGATCCAAGCCTGAAGATTTCAACGTTATCTTAACCACTACGCTAGTGTGCATCTATTCAACACAACAATTTTTATTTTATCCTCTTATTTTATTCTCATTCTCTTCTCCTTCTCCCTCATTTATTTAACATTATAATTATTATTTTACACTATCTGGAGGTTTCATCGGTGCGGTTTTTCAACCGCACGACGATGATTGTTCCACTATATCACATTGCAATCGACACGAGTCATGTTAGGCTGCATAAACTATATTATTTCGTGCATATTACATAACAGCCTACATGAGTCATATTAGGTTATATGTATTATTTTATACGATATGAAGGTTTCATCGATGCGGTTTTCAACCGCATGACGATGATTGTTCCACTGTATCACATCACAGTCTATGCGAGTCATATTAGCCTGCATAAATTATATTATATCATGTATGAATCATAGGACTTGATGTGCTCTCAACCTTATAAAGACCCGTGTTAGAGCATAGAACACGTCTTTTCCCAGAGTCTTTCTCTCTCCGGCGAATAATCTGTGGCAAAGGTCTTCATCACGTGGCGTCATTGAAATGCAAATAATCATAGCATCACCACTGCCATCCACAATTATGTATTGACAGTGTAAATGTTATCGCACTAATCTTTTGGCATTTCCAGTCCTAGCAATAAAAGCCAAATATTCATTTATCATCATTGGTAAATCCACATACTCTTATTCATAAAACAATAATCTGATACATAGCATCATTAAAGTCATTCAAAATCCTCTTGAAATCACTCAACCATGTTTTCATTCATGAAATATAATTATGAACCATAGAATGATTAGTAACATTTTCTAATGGTATCATGAATATAACAGACTTTTTATTACATCATATCAATAACAATAGCATTATAAATGCACAAGCGTGCATCAATTAGCATTATTCTCACCTTAAATCAACGCGATATCACCCATGATACAAAATCAAATAAAATCATTCACACGTAGTCTTGCCTCTTATTAGCTTATCCTTTATGCGAATTCATAAATCATTTACATAAACTAGATCTTAGAATATCAATTTGACTATAACTTAAAGTAACTCATATAATTTTAATTTCCAAGACCATGCCTTGATTAGATTAACCTTAATCATCAAAATTAGAACTAATTTCCCAAATTCCATATTTTCAAAATTATATAATTGCCCTAATAAAGTTTCTCATCAAGAACATTTACCCCTCATTTCCAATCTTCACTTAATCAAGCCATATTAATTAAAAATTAAATACCTGAGGCTATTAAGTTGTTATCCAAGGCATATGAATATTTTAAGGGTTAAAACTTGTGGTGAAAGGTGAAGAAGATGTGTTCAAGTAAAAGGGCGACAAATGACTTGCTTTGGATGATTAAATGAAGATATTCTAAGTCTATTTATCCGCAAAAAAAGTGTAAATGCCAAGGAGTTTTTTTTTACTCATTAAGAAAGGGAAAGTTCTTCATTGCACATAATATTGGTTTTTTTTTTTTTTTTGGTATTGACATAATATTGGTTTTACTTCGATGGAAGAGGGTCATCAATTTGAAACTCAATCATAATGCTAGAAATGCCAAAGTCCTACAAATCCGTGAGCTAAAATCATAAATTGCTTACGCGTCAGTCATTTTATATTATTCAAATCAGACGGAATTAACGAAAAGACTTGATTGTATCAATTTGACAAGTTTCAAGATTCGATTGCACTTTTTTCGAAAGCTTAGGGACTCCAATTGCTCTTTCTCGACAAGTTACCGAATCTCTAAAGCGCACTCATCCTATGTTTTTTTAATCACCGACCTCGTATCGAGATGCCCCAAAAGGCATCCCAGGATTCGCAAGCAAAGATATCGTTGTTTAGTTAAATGCGATGCATTTGATTAACAAATAAATTAACTAACATGACAGGCGACGCTGTCCTTTTTTAATTTATATAGAATAGTAAAAACATTATTTTTAGAAAAAAGAAAAAAAAAAACTGAATTCGGTTCGGTTTGAGGGAGGACCGTAGGTTCTGGTATGAATTTCTACCGACCAGCATCGACCTTCCCCAGTCGGTCCTGTTTCTCTCTCCTCTCTCTCTCTCTCTCTCTCCTCCGCCAGCTCTCGTCGTCATCTCCTCCCTCCGTCCCGCTCGCTCGCTCGCTCGCCGGAGCACCGCCGTAGAAGGAGAAGAAGGAGAAGGGCGGTGGTATAACGCGGAACCTCTTGAATATAAGTCGGAACGAATCCCCGGGCCGTGGAGGCGATCGAGCAGCTTCGCTTCTTGCCCCTTCTCTGACGCCGAACAGACCGGAGGTGGGTGGGTTTTTTCGTTCTTGGGGGAAAACGTCGAGCTGCGAGTCGTTGCGTGAACCGGGGAATCGGGAGAGGAGAGGGGGGGAGAGAGGGAGGGATTGTGCTTGAATGGCCGAGCATTACAGTTGCTGCGAGACCAACTTCTTCATCCACATACTGATCGTGGCGTTGCTGGTGGTGTTCGCCGGGTTGATGTCCGGCCTCACGCTGGGGCTCATGTCCATGAGCCTCGTCGATCTCGAGGTCCTTGCCAAGTCCGGCACGCCCAAGGATAAAAGCCACGCAGGTGTGTTGTCGCTCGATCGATATAGGGTTTCCCTCTTTGGGTTGATGTCGTAATCTCGATCGAACCGCCTTTTTAAGATTGCTGCCCGTGGACACCTCTTGAGAACTTTTAAATAATTGATGTCTGTGGAACTCGGGGCTTTATTATAGGAATGCAGCAAGTTGTAGGATTCTGATTGTGAAATTTTGGTCCACGGCCCTCACCAGGACAGTGCCTTTACTTGTAGATGTCCAGTCAACTGCGACGCCTGTTAGCGGCTTTGCTATCCTTGAATGAAATCTTATGCTTTCGTCCTTCAACTATCTATGGTGAATCGTGATGTCGGGTTAACGAGATCTGTAGCAAAATGTCTTTTTTGTGTTGTAATATGCGAAAAAAGAGAGCATGTAATAGCTCTGGGTAGGGGCAGGGGACTTCTACTGCTCTTTCCCCGTTCAACCCAGAGCGTACCGTGAAAACATGTAACGTCACTTGGTTAAGGCGAATAAGTGTAGTCTGGTGAATACGCGACAACATGGTGGTGCTGGTATCATTTGGCAGCGTGGGCTTGTAGTTATGTCGGGTGCTGCTGATGCTTTTGCTCCCAATCAAGCTGGCTCTTGCTTTGTTGTAGGCAGCTCGAAATCAGTTATTTGTTTCCCTTGATGCATCTATGAAGTATTCTGTAATGTAGGGAACTCATTAAGGGAGGATTTGGTCCTTTTTCTTGGCCATGGTGATGGGTAGATATAACCCCTAAGAATTTTATCCAGAAACAAAGGAAAGGAATGTCGGTACTAGAGTTCAACTCTCTAAGCTGAAGGATTGTAGGCCCTTTCCTCTAGCATTCGCGAGAATTCACGTGGGTGAAAATGAGCATGTACTGGATCTTAGCATGAGAGCTTTTCCACTGCAAATTTGATGTATGCTTCTGGATACGATATCTTGACACATAAAAATGAGATTATTGCTTCTGCAAAACACTTAAGTCATCTTTAGATATGAACTTGCAGTTGGCGAGTACCAACGCAAACATTGTGATGCATGGTGGGCCTTGGCACAACTGGATGGCTAAAAGATGCAAGTTTGTAATCACGATTACGAGCTAATTGAGAGCTAATTTGGGTTCCTTACTTGGATCGCGATCTGTTGTGATCACTGACAATAAGTAGAAAATGAATGTGGCAATGGACAAATTTGATTTGGAAGGGCTGATGATCAAGATATGCAAGGGTCCACATGCTTGCCTCCAGTGCGGTTGGTTTGAAAATGGTAGAAAGCACTTAGCAAAAAGTACAAAGGAAAATGGTTGGGATTTTGAGAATCATGTAAACCATTTGTAGGTGGTAAGACTTTGTAAAGAATGAAATGCATTGACGATAACAAGTTGTGGGCGGTCACTTTTGGTTTTTGGGAGTGGCAGTATTGGCATACTTGCTATCCAGTTTTTGATGATCAGTAGTTGGAAAGACTGTTCTCAACTAGCTATATTGCGATTACTTTTCAATTAATTCCTCATCGTCTATTCCCATTCTATTATCATTTGTTGGGTTACAACGTTGTTGATTCCATATACATTTTTCTAATTCCACTTATGCTTTGTTATAGCCAAGATACTGCCAGTTGTAAGAAATCAACATCTTCTTCTTTGCACATTACTGATATGCAATGCTGCTGCAATGGAGGTAAGTTCCAATAACTTGTGTATATATATATAAACACTATGATTCTGTGGATGCTTACGTCTCATGTGCCTTTTCTTCTTCATCTTCAGGCCCTTCCTATTTTTCTTGACAGCTTAGTTTCAGCTGGGGTTGCTATCCTGATCTCAGTGACCTTGATCCTTCTGTTTGGAGAGGTTGGGAATCACTTCTCACGTGATTAGAGTAACATCCATTCTTTATAATAGGGAAAGAATATTTGGTGGACAATGGGGTTAGATTTAGGTTTGGGGGGAAATATCATGTAAAATTCTTCTGTCACAAAAAATATTTCGGTACTGCAACTTTGGGGGTTAGTCTACTGCTTTAGATGACGTCTTCCCCTCTACCACTTATAATGCATGCATGAAGTCTGCATCTCAGATTTTCGTTGGCATTAGAGTTTTAAGTTGATATTTATCTGTTGGTTGCACTACTGGTTGCTTCCATTTGCTTCGTGAAACAGATAATTCCGCAGTCTGTTTGTTCTCGATATGGTTTGGCAATTGGTGCGGCCGTGGCTCCAGCTGTGCGTGTTCTTGTTTGGATCTGCTTTCCCATTGCATATCCAATCAGCAAGGTGGTGCTTGTAGGGTTTAGGAAAGTTGCTTTATTATCTACTTTGGCTTACTTGCTCAGCATCCTTTTTGTTTCTTCTTTGCTTCCAGTTATTAGACTTTCTACTTGGTCATGGACATGTAGCTCTCTTCCGCAGAGCTGAGCTTAAAACCCTTGTCGACATGCATGGAAATGAGGTGAATATCAGTGTTTCCTTCTTGAGTTACTTTGTTATTTGGATGTGAGCAAATCAAGCTAGTTTTTTTGTTGGATGATGGTGCTTATAACCTATGCTATGCCTTACCTTCCACATACAGGCTGGAAAGGGGGGAGAATTGACGCATGATGAAACAACTATTATTGCTGGAGCACTTGAACTTTCTGAAAAGAAAGCTTGTGATGCCATGACTCCTATATGCGATACATTTGCCATTGACATCAATGCCAAGCTTGATCGGTTGCGTTGCTGTTTTCAATGCATTAGATTATTTTAGCACTCTTTCTGTGGCTTTGAATCTTGGGACTTACTTGTCATGACACAGGGATTTGATGAACATGGTTTTGGAGAAAGGGCACAGCAGAGTGCCGGTTTTCTATGAGCAGACTACCAACATAATTGGATTGATTCTGGTATCTACAAGAAACTTTTATTTTCATGTTTTTTTCTTTTTATAAGAATAAGTTAAATGATAATGATTTATTTGCCTCCTGCTTTTCAGATTTGCTGCAATTATAAAATGATTCACGCCTTTGTTATATTTGAGAGATGCTTGATGATGTGACAAGTATTATTCAGCGTTTTAATAGACTATAAATACCTTGACTCTGGAGGATAATTGCAATCGAAAAATGTCATGCGGTTCTCATTTTATTTAACACACAACTTTAAGAAAGATGTAATATGCCTGTCATTTAGGTGAAGAATTTGCTGACCATTCACCCAGAAGAAGAAGTACCAGTGAAAAATGTTACCATTCGGAAAATTCCAAGGTCCATTTCTATGGATTGATCATTTGCAATTTACTAGCAGAGAGGTTCATGAGTATGGCTGTCATGTTAATACTAGCTTGTCTTTTTATGCTATGACCAAAGGGTTCCAGAAACATTGCCTCTATACGACATATTAAATGAGTTTCAGAAAGGTCACAGCCACATGGCTGTTGTTGTGAGACAGCATAACGAGACGACAGAGCAGTCTACTGACAAGAGCCCTGTCGATAGTAAGTTCCAATTTACAGCGCCCACTTGAGAATGTTCCCGTTGTTAGTCTTCTGTCAACTTAACTGGAATTTGCAACTCTCTCTTTAAATAGGTACTGTGAAAGATGTCAAGGTGGACATCGACAGTAAAAAGACTCCGCAAGAGAAGAAATTGATCAGCAAGAGATCTCTGCAAAAATGGAAGAGCTTCCCCAACTCAAATAGCTCATTTAAGGGAAATTCAAGGAGCAAGAAGTGGACAAATTACATGTATGCAGATATCCTGCAAATAGATGGAAGTCCTCTTCCACAGCTCGCCGAAGAAGAAGAAGCGGTGGGCATAATAACCATGGAAGATGTCATAGAAGAACTGCTACAGGTCTCATATATTCTTCATCGTTGCTTGCATTCTAAACAATATATCCATGAGTTACCTTGTTTCTGACATATTCCTTTGTGGCATCCTTCAGGAGGAGATCTTTGATGAGACAGATCACCATTATGAAGATTCATGACATCGGATCCCATGCCGAGTATCCTAAACAATTTTCTAGCAGTGTTTAGTACTTCATATCATTTCAATGTTTGTGGTATTACATGTACTGGTGTAGCTCTACCAAAGGGACTAAGAAAAGCTACGAATAGTTGAATCTGTATCATTTCGAAGGAATAGAGGATTATGGACTTGAAATACTATTTCGTGGGATTGTATATCAAATTGTAGGGAAGTGTGCAAGGCAATTGGTATATCTTGCACATTATGTTTAGTTTTTGCTTTTATTGAAGTTGTATCGCAAGGAAAGTAAACCATTGTTGCGCCATGAGCAGCTCCTGTTTTGTCGTCCTTTTGCATCGTTTGTTTGTTAGCTTTCTCGCAATGGAAGTAGTTCAACTATGTCGGGTATCTCCTCTCTAAGCTTCTTCTTTAGTGTTTGAACTCCCCATATCTCATTCTGCTATTAGAACTGTTTTGCCATGGAAGATACTTTTGCTTGAAGACATATTGTGAAAAGGAAAAATGACACAAATAGTATATGAATTTTGGCTCAACATACGATATCGTCCCTTAACTTTTAACTAATGTGCATCATAGTCATTGAATTTTTTATTTATTCAAAGTGGTTACTAAACTTTTGGTATATATTCAAGTTAGTCCCTAGTGTATATTAAAATGTTAAATGTAGTTTTTTCATTAATTTAAGTTAACATAATTTACTGATTTGGTTTCTAATTCGGTACGTTTGAACGGAGAACACAAAAAGCGTTACACATGGATTATCCATGTGTGATATTAAATAATACTTTTTAATTTGTTTAATTTGAAAAATGACTAATCATGTTATTTGATGATGCGAATTATTATATCCTGATTTGAGTTGAAAATCTCACGTGGATAATTTATGTTATGTTTTTGTTCACCGTTTAAACGTACTGGAATGAAAATCAAATCAGTAAATTTCGTTAACTTGAATTAATGAAAAGACATCATTGGATATTTTCATATAGTCTAGGGATTAAATTGAACATGTACAAAGAATTCAGGAACCGCATTGGATAAATTAAAAGTCAAAAATGATATTGCATATTAAGCTAAAGTTGAGGAACGACATTGCGAATTGAGCTAAAGTTCATGGACCATTTGTGTAATTATCCCTCACAAAAATAATTTGTAAATACTTGTAAAATCTTCTTGCGAAGAATTACTACCAATGAAAACGGAGTTTTTGGGATCTTTTTGCCCAGCAAGTCGATTCCTTGCAGACCTTTTGAAGATAGGGAAGTGCAAAGCTATTTTGGACTGGCTTCTCCACAATATGTCATCTCCTTTTTAGGATATGCAATGAGGAAATCTTGAAACTTGGTTATCCGCAACAGGAAAGATGCCCAGGTGCTTCCGTGGTCCATGATGAGAAGCCTTCGTACTTTTAGGAATTTTTCAAATAAGGCCCGAAGCAATGCATTTTTCAAAAAAAGAATGCGAGCATATTTTATTTTCAAATAAGGACCTGAAATAGTTATCAGTCTCAAATAAGGGCATGTATCCACCGGCCGACTAAATTTTCGCCGGCAACATGTGCATCTTACATGTCACTTTTCACATCATGACTAGTCCAATATATTAGTTTTTCTTTTCTTTGCGCCATCATTCAAGCTTGCGCCACCTCCGATCTTCTTCGGCATCTTGCAGCCAAATCTTCAAGCTCCCCGACTGCTTGAAGGGCTTCTTTGATTTCGAGAAGACGACGACAAGCTGCAAGCAGAGAACGGTGGTGACAATGCTTCAGTCGAGTTAGTTTCGTCATTCAGGCTTTGAACTTCCCCTGAACCTGGATCTACAGAGAGTCACCACCGGAGAGTCACAACCAGATCCAGACCCGACTCAATCTACTCAGTTTCTTTAGGAGGACTCGAACTGTAAATCCAGCCCGTGCTTCAACGGCAGTGGCTCACCAGGGACGATTCCCACGAGTCTCACCAACTCCACCTAGCTGTTCCGGCTCAATTTGAGCTTCAAATTCCATGTCCGGGCCAATCCTGAGTGTCGTCACTTGGTCTGCTTTGATTGCCACTCTTGCTTCAACCACAACATCGCTCCAAACACTCTCTCGGAGCCACAATCAGATAGGAACCGGAGGAGTCGGCAAAAAAGATTGGCAAAAAAGAGAAGAACGAGGAAGAAAATGAACAGAAGAAAGGAAGAAAAGGAAAAAACAAAAGAAAAAAAGAAACATAATGTCCTGGATGAACATGCCCCTGCCATGGCTTGGAAATTGGCATGCGAGATGCACATGGTCGTCAGCCAACACGATTTGAGACGAGGTTCACTTTAAGTCTATCTTTTGAGATAGCTACGTTACTTTACTTCAGGTTTTTATTTGAATTCCCTACTTTTTATGCCTCATTAGTCACTATGAAGCAATGGCGATTCTGGAAAAGAAAGGAACCAATGATGAAGCGTGAAAGAGATAAACCGGGAGGGGGAAGTGGATTTCAGCAAAAATCTCTCGATGCCTTGATTAGCTTTTACTTTTAGTGAGCTTGTCAAACATGACTCACTCTCTTTACCCTATAGATGAAAGTGATGCTCGAGGGCAACAGGAATACAGTATAAGTCACTCAGCTTAACAAGATTTCGAAGGTAGGTCGAAAGAGATCATCTAAAAAGAACTTGAAAAGAGATGATCAAAAGAGATCAGCTGAAAAGAACTTGAAGGACGGCAAACAAGTGCACTTCATACCATCTCGGTGCACTGTTGCAAAGTGTTCCAACGGATACTCTCATTACTGTAATTTAATCCATCCCAAACCAAAAATAGTACCCGAAATCCCAAGAATTTCCCAAGTGCCATTGAAGAAATCACATCAGCTACTACATCTCTGAACTACTTTCTATGTTTGTTCCTCTCTTTCTTTTTTTTCCTAGACTTACCTTCAGATCTGTGCTTACTGGAGTGTTTTCTGCTCGAGCTAAGGTGGACCTTCTTCGCCTTCTTATGCCTGTCTTTATGACCATCCTCTTTGGGTGATCCAGAAGCCATAAGTGAATATGGTTTCTCTGGCCCATACGTTACACGTGCTTCCCTAAGCTCAGGACTTGGAGACAACTCCTTGGAACCTGGGCACGATGAAAGGTAGGGACCTGTTTCATCCATCCTCGACCCTATGGCACCTCTGCCGCGCTTGACCCTGCATCCGTAATGGTATATGTTTTAGGAATCAATGCCTGCTTCATCTACTCTCCAAACAAAACAAGCACACACTTTACAACAAAATCAAGACATGCATGTGTCCTCAAAAGGGGAAGAGAGGAAAAATAGAGGCTGTGACCTTGAGTGTAGAAACTCTTCAATATCTTCATCACCCAAACCTTCATCTCCTCTTTTATGGCGTCTATCATGTGCACTTCTACTTTGAGCACATGAAGGTTCAGCACTGTAATCATCTATATCATGACTATTGCTGGTGCTCCTCGAAGAAGTGGCATCCTTATGGTGCCTCCTACTGCTGCTCTCGCACCTATTGCTGCTCTCGTCTCTTGATCTTCCTTTGATCCGATTATCAAGCTCCACCTCCTTCTGACGCAGTCGCCACATTTCGTTCACTTCCACAGCTTTATTGGCTGAACATGGAGACAGCAAGCAAAAAGTTATAAACTGATTCGAAAACTGGAGCTAACTGTTACAGATGAGAGACGGCAGAAAATTCATAAAGCAAAGAGCTTGCGATGCATCCAGGCAAAGCACACTCAGATTTAAGTCAAAAAGTAGGAATGGAACCACGCAAGAAATCACATCAACAAGACATCATTAGCCATGCCTGAAAAAATTCCATTGACCACTTGCTGGATATAATGAGAGATGCAACATTCTTACAGAAAACAAGAGACCATAATATTGAAACACATAGATGGCAGAGAGCATGCGACTATGCAATGATACGCAAGTGTATAAAGCGCCTCAATCAAACAAATGAAAAATTCTTCAAGAGTGTCATTCTTGGTCCACCAACCACAATGATAAAAACAATACACGTGCTCCAGAAGTGTCCACTTTTGACGTTTCTTAAGTGACCCAATCACATGCCTTGAAAAAAATTTGCAACTCTAAATACACAAATATAGGCCTAACCTTGTTGCACCCCGAGAACAGTTGCGGTGAGAAACCTCGAATTGGGCCGAGCCCTAACAGAGGGCTTGCAAAGATAGGCAAGTGCACCTTCTTTCTCAGCTTGTCGACGTAACTCCGCTGCTTCTTTCATAAGGATTGCGGCTATTCTGTTTTCCGTATCCAAATCCATCAGACCCTAAAGAGCACAGTGCAACAAGCATATGAGCAACACTTGCGGCGCATCTCATTCTCATACAGTTAAAGAGTTATTCTTCCTAAGCAAAACTTCCATCACAAAAGCAATATAGTCCTTTCAGGATGCAATCACAGGCATCGCAAAATCGCTTCATTTCCCTCAACTTCCCTCACCTTCCCTATTTGACAATCATGTCACTCAAGTTTCTCAAGTCAGATTTACCCTTTACCGTTATAAAATTCAACACTCTTAATATGACATAATCAGACTGCACACATCAAAAGTTAAGATTTTTTTTTTTCTCATCCACAAACTTCCCAGCATCCAAAAGAACCGATTAATCGAATTCGACGAACCATGATCACCTCCCCGGAAACACAAAACACAAAACAACCTCCAGTCAGACCAACACGACCGAAAGTGAAGAAGAAAGCTACAAAATTTCAACCTCTCTTACACTGCTCGCAATTACCCACGATTGAACAGTAAAGCAATCTAATCCAACGGGGAGAAATCAATCGAAACTCACCGAATTCGATCAATCGATCAAGGGGTTTAACCCGCCGAGGCCGATCAATTGGAGGATTGAAACGGTTCCCCCTCGCGCAGGAAAACCCTAATAGCAATTTCTCAACAGTACTCGCGGGAATATGCCGCCGCGCGAGGGCTTGAAGATCGCGTGCTTCGAAGAGGGTGGGAGGGGGCGGAGCAAGATCGAGCCTTTACGCGATGAATGTGGACGTCGCCTGTAGCTTCGCAAGAAGGCTGTTTAGGGGCCTCAATTCGGTTCGGGTCCAATGGGATCCGGACATCAAAAGTATATATCTTTTTGTGTGACCCGACCCAAATCCTGATCCGAATCAACCAAGATCGGGTCGGGTAGTCGGATTATTCATAAAAATTAGTAGAAAATTGTCCAAAAAGTTGTAAGTACTTTTGCCAATTCAGTCCTAAATCTTTCAATTTCGTCAATTACGTCATCAACCTTTTCATATTTTGCTGTTGAAGTCCATTCGACCAATTTTGGCGGAAATCACTGACGTGGACGTTGATCGTTCTACATGGCGCAAGCGGCGATTACGTGAACAGTTTTTAATAATATATTTATATTTTTTTCCAGCCCCTTAGTTATTTCCAAGTCTATGTACAAGGGGGAGTACTCAAATATTAAAATACGGTATCAGAGTCAGATTTTGCTCGGTTTATTTCTTGTATGCACCATCCCGTTCATCAAATTCTACGTGCCATTTGTAATCCGGCTTGCATGTGTTGGATTATCTAACATCGTTTGATTATATGATTTATGTGCTCTTTATGTATTTACGTAATTTCTCTCTACCTATAAGCTTTTGGAATAGATGTTGATGGACAAAATTTTATATCTTATTAAAGTATGTGGTCATGAGTTCAAATATTTATAGGCATTAGATGGGACGGTGTTGATTGTATTTCTTAACACTATTGCTGTATATGCATGTTTTATTTTTTATGAGAGCAGAAATAGTTGAATTTGTTTGAACGCGGAACTGGAATTTTAAATGACAACTGATCATCCCAAGACTCAAAGGTGCAAATGTTTGCCCTATAATTGAGCTTTAACCCTTCCGAAACCCTTTGGAATCTTGAATGTGCCGAAGCTCATCTTGATGAAATGAAATGATTTTGTTTTGCCCAAAAAAAAAAATTATTTGCAGGCGAGAGATTATCACGAAGAAAAAAATATTGGGCGATGGGTTCTTGGGTCGAACCCCCAGCCGAATTGAGCTACAAACATGGTTTACATCTACATCACAAAGTTATACCACCAGCTTCTGCAACACTTTTGTCTGGAAAGAAATCCATCGACTGAAAAGTGCAAAAAAAAATAAAATTAACGTTTTAATAATTCATGAGGTTTATTAGGATCGGCACGTTTTTGATTGACTTAATCCGTCTCGATAAGATCCGATTATATTAAAGTCCATCCCAAATTCAACCGTGTTTTAAAAGTGCAAAATTTAGCTCCGTCAGGTTGCATATGCGAAACCCATTTCAAACACATCAATAACTCGATTCCTGATATAAAAAATATATATATAGACGCTTAATAAATAAAATCCCCAATCAAGCAAACCTTAACTGATATCGACTGCTTTTACGGAATCAATTTGAGATCTCTCGTTAATCAAAGACCTTGTAGAGGTTTGGAATTGATTTGACATGTGAGCGGAACCCGATCTCGAAAATTGGCTGGACAGCTCATTAAATACCGACCCATGCGTTAGCACATGAGTATCTTAATTCGATGATGTTCGAGTTATGAAGAAAGCCAAAGCAAGTTCAAATATAAAAAGAACCAAAGTCAGGTTGAACTTGCAAGCAATCTCCTCAAATGACAAATTAGTTGGTACAAGAAATCAGATTTTTAGTTGACGTTTGGCGCACCCGGACAGCCCAGAAGTTCCTGTGCGATGTGAACCGGCTGAAGTGAAAGTTCTTACCAGACAAAGGCTCAAGTGTATCAAGGCCTTCACTTTCCAACAGGAACATTTCCCGTGTCAAGAATATAGTCTTTTCCTTGTTTTTCTCTTCTGTTCAGCTAGAAGACGATGATGTCTTTTGCAAATAGAATTCCGACGTTACCGATGATGGATTGGTGCGGGCATTTCGTATGCTCCTGATGTTCCTGATGAGCAGATCAAAGGAGCTAAATTGCGAACCCGGTGTCTAGTTGAGTCTTTCATGCCATGTTTATCTGAATAAAACAGGTGCGGAATTGCGTCAGCTACTAGGACATTTCGGATTCTAGTCTTTCATGGCATTTCGGATGGGTGGTTGTGATATTGAAGTACCGTTCCGGGGGTTGAGGGACATTAATGTGCTCAACTACTAGGAAAAAGTGCAGTTGTCGCTTTATTGCTATTATGAGAAATCTATGAAAAGAAGAATGTTATCATCCGTTTATCTATAAGGTGGAGTGAAATGGTGATTCCAAAATGTAAAAGGCGACGAACAGAACTGAGCAAGGAGTATTTATTAACATTTGATTGGATCAGCTAGAGAACAAACAAAAGTTCAATGTTCCTGGGAAAATCTTGTACTGAATGAGTCTACATATTGTAACGGAATCTAAAGTTGTACTGCACAATTCTCTTCCGAGTGTAGTATAACTAGCAGCCCTCTCCATCTACTATGAGAGAGCAATGTAATTGGATGAAGGAACTCGACCGCATATTCGTGTGCTTATCAAGCTTGCTTCATTCCGTCAGTTAACAGGAGGAGCCCTGTGGTAAGCCGGCACGGTTGCGGGGAAGAACATCTGCCTTACTCCTTCATCCCTTATTATGGGAAAGATGATACCTGATGCACCCTGAAATAGGAAATGCTGATTAGAAATTGTTGCCTTCCAATCTAATGCTAAGCCACGTCAAGGGTTCGAGAATATGGTCCTGAAGTCGAAAGCAAGTACTCACCTTAATCAGTCTGGCCCCAAGCCACATGCGTTTCAGCGAAGGGAACGGAAGACATAGCCGGCCAACACCATATACGGCTACAGCGAAGAAATGGCATACCAAGTGCATGGGACGGGGGTTTAGACCTGAGAGCAGAGAGACTGGCCCACTTGAGCATAGACCGCCGAGGCTCAGATAGTCAAAGCACGCTTCGCGCATTTCCTTTCTTGCCGGGTCCGGGGATGCACAGAAAACCTTGTACAGAGCACCGGCTAGTGTGTTGATGGTTGATGCCACAGGCTGTGAAGAAAAGGACGAGTCCGGTTAGCATGCAGTTTGAGAAGTGACACCACTAATTTCTACGCTTCTTTACTTTTGGATCAAGTGGATAACATTTCTCACCTTCCTCAGTGTGTAGAACGACTCAAGATATTTGCATAGAGCAGATGCATCATTCAGATCCTGAAGTGGGCGAAGGAGGTTTCTTAGCACAACGATATCAGACAGAGCCACGGTCATTCCTCCTCCTGTCAATGGATGGCGCATGTTAAATGCGTCTCCCATCAGAAGAGCTCCAGGGGTGGGTTGAGGATTAGCGGGCATGCTTCTATTTGGCATCGACTTTATGTTCCCCTTGTCAATTGCAGCTATGAAGGCTTTGTACAATTCAGGGGGAACCTGAAACACGAGATTCTTTGATGAGCCCAAAATTTGTAGACTAGAGAGCAGGATTAACAGAAATGGAGGAGCAGCTGAGATAACTTCTGGTGCCTAACTAGTCAAATTATGTTACTATGAAAAACACTATTGCCAAGCAGTTTGGATATATACCTGTGGAGCAACCTTTGTCTTCAAATATTTGGCCATTTCACCACTGGCTACAGAGGGCAATTTCTGGCCTGGGACATCGACCAGACAACGGATCTCAGTGCTGCCGATCGGATAAAATAAGATAGGTGAAGGGTCTGCCAGTATGACATGGCCATGGTTTGGGAATGGAAGATCACAATTCTCCACGACTAACCCCACGAAATGAGAGGGGACATCAACCTGTAGACACAGGGAACATATTAATTTCGACTCAAGCACGATCGACCAAGATTTGAGGAACGCACAAAATGTTGGTGACAACTTCAGAAAATATATCAATCTGCTCGATTGACCCTTCATATTCACCTTCGGGGTGCAGAGGTTACGGCGTAGGTTTGAAAAGCAACCATCACATACAACGGTGAGGGGAGCATATGCTTTCAACTCTTCCCCAGCCTTGGTCTTGTATTGCACTCCCTTGACAGTTCCGTTTTCCTCAATTAGAGATGTGACTGTTCCTTGTTCTAGACTTACACTGAGACAGATGAAGGGTAAAGAAAAGGTAAGATGATGACCTTAGAATGAAGTCTTATATCCGACACAAGCATAATATGATCGGATAAACAAAGTGCGCGATTAAGTTGATGTAGAGACGATCCAGTTTTGCAATCTCAAGTTCAAAAACGAGATCACCAAACAAGAATTATCTCAAAAACTTCTGAGTGGATAATTTATTGGTCTCAGAAGTATCATGCCATCTTTAGCTAGATGAACATCAGAGCAGATAAGCAAACAGAAAACGCAAGACTTTTACGAATAGCAGATCGGAGAAGGAAAGTACTTTGGGAGAGTTGCGGCCTTTTCCCTCATCCTTTGAATGAAACGGCCGTTATGGAAACCTCTACCGGCGACATCTGAATGAAATTTCTCCAATGGATAAGACAACTGTGTGTGTTTCCCATCCTTGAAGAGAGCATATCCAACAATTCTTTGGGCATCAATTGTTTGAACGCAATCTGCTCTCGCCAAATGAATTGTATTCAATAAGAATCCACACCAGATGCGTGATCATGAACATTCAGCATACTTAAAACAGATTAAGGGCCATGTTTTAAATTGTGAAAACACAATTTCAGAAGGTATAACGCTCTATTTGCAACACCCTGCTTACCTGCAAGGTCCAATTCCATCAATTTCAGGTAACCCCCTGGCTGAAGAAGCTCGCCGACAATTCTATCTTGCTCTGTCAGGTCTCTCTCAATGACGCGCACGCGACGTCCCTCCTGTGGAGAAGCAACAGGACACGGATATTGCTTCAGATCATTCCAAATGCCAAATGAAAATGCTTTCGTGCCATTAAAAGTGCCCAAATAAAAAGCCTCTTCTCATTCAATTTCGTTCCTGCTATTATCATTCAGATGTTACAATATCATTAACAGAAAGACCATGAAAAGGCAACTCCAGAAGGGAAGTCAAAAGTAATTTGCTTTGCTACGTTAGGTAGCCGAACCGAACAGGGGAACAAAAGTTGGAAACTCAATAAACAAGTTTTCCAAGTCACGCATGCACGTGAAGCCAACACGACGAACACGCAGTTTCACGCACAACCCAGAGAGCAATCTACAGGTTCTCATACAGAAAACAAAAACAGTTCCTCAATCCTTCGCAACCGACGGCATACGCAAATATCCGGCGAGATGCAACCGCAATTCCAAGAGATATCACTCCACTCCGGAGACACAGAGAGAGAGAAAGAGAAAGGGATCGCTGTAAACGTTACCTTCCCGAGCGTGTAAGCGAGGGCGGCGCCGGCGACTCCTGCGCCGACAATGAGGATATCGGTGCTCCCGTCGGCCTCGGGCCTGAAACCTCCATCAACAGAGCTCTTCACGTAACCGTCGCCTCGACCCTTCTTGGACAGCCTCCTCTTCTCCTTCCCGAACCTCTTGTACAGCAGAACCATCCCCAGGAACAGAGCCAGGGCGCCACTGATCAAGTACTGACCGTCCATCGCCCACCCTTTCCAGAGACTGCTCCCGAGCTCTCAACACCAGCAGCCCAACAACCTCCGCGACCCAGTAACAGAGAGATGGCGGCGAGCTTCGGCGCTCGCTCGCTCCTGCGGTGGCTAGGCTTGTGTTAACAGATGTTGGAAGTGTCCAAGCTCAAACTGTGTTTGCGTGCGGTGAAGCATTCAAGCGAAGTTGGCGCTCTTTTATAGCCAGAGGAAGGAAGGAGGAGGCTTTCCCACACCTGCTTTCTTTTCGTTCTTGCGAACGTAAACGTGGACGCGCCTGCCGTCGCCATTTCGACCGTATTTCCCCATTTTTTTTCTACCATTTTTTTTTAATTTAATGGTACTGTCGTTTTTTGGAAAATTGTCGTTGAGTGTATTTCCGCCAACACAAATTGCTGCGGTATCTTTATTTTATTTTATTTTTATTTTTCAAATGAGAGCTCAAGTAGCTGGATTTGTTTGAAGTTTGAACGTAGAAATGGGATTTCATATGACCACAATCCTCCTCGCATAATTGATTCGTAGGCATGACATCTTTTACATCCACAATCACAACGTTGTACCGGCACGTTTCGCAACTTTTGTTCGGGACGAAATTTCACGATAATTTCGAAATCTATCTCTATTAGGGTATGACCACCCGAAATCCACTTCAGACCCGCTAATAACTCGGCTTGTTGATGCAGTACGGGCGATAAAGCTTACTGAACATTTGAAAGAGATGAATTCGATGTTCTTACGTTCTACTAAACAAAATCCCGAGTCAAGCAAATCCTAATTGATATTGGTTGGCATTTCGAAATGGGTTTTCGGGTCTCTTGTTAATTAAAGACCCCATAGAGGTTCGGACTTGATTTGACGAGTAAGGAAAAGAAACCCGACCCGCCTTCATCCCATACCCAGGAAACGGTGGTCGTGCCGTGTCGAAATTAATCTCCATCAAGAAGAAAGGCAAATCAAAAACTTTGTCACATAAGTAGCTTGGCAATAAAGGCTTCCCAAAATGGAGTTTGTTACATAGTTATTGGACGGCAAGCGAAGGTTGTAAATGACAACATTAATTGGAAACCCCCCTGGCGTCACGTACTGTACATGTCCCGGCAGTCCAATTTATGAGCCTCCATGCTCGTTATCGGTCAATTTCACGCTTTCCCATATTCATTTTTCTCTTCATTTTTTTTTTTCAAATTTTCCTTCCTTTTTGGCTCTCAGAAGTCACGATTAATTCCTCAATTTCCTCAATTTTCATTTAAAGGGAACATACAATTTTGCCAAGAGATATAACATAGAGCTACAAAAAAAAGGACCGTCAAATTGGATGGTTTGACAAAGTAAAAAAGGAATAGTATGACGGCAACGCCGACAGCAACATGCGGGTCGGTCAAAGTGAGAGTTAGGTGAGGTGAGGAGTATTTTAATGAAACATTCAGAGAGTCAAACCAAGTTAAAAGGTGCCGTCAAGTAAGAGGGTTATTACCAAAAACCGTGGGACGACAAACAGCGGATTCACAACCAATCCCACTAAGCAACAAAATACGAGAATTCGTTCTTTAATGCGTTTCTTGGCCCGAAAATAAGGCGTCTCCCCACCGAAACCAAACAAGTGTTACCACCAAATCGTGGCATGATAGCGTAAGTAAATGCAAATTTGCAAAAATTTGTGAACTCCAGACATCATGAGGGAGATGGGGAGATAGGGAGAGGTGGCTGGTCAAGTCATTTTAGTCGGATCAGAATATTGTCGACGTCGTATATTTATTTCAGATTAGTTTTTGGGACTATTGATATCGTGACTTTTGTGGGTATTTTATTTTGTTAATTATTTTTCTGCTCGTTGAAGGCGGGTGTGCGAGCTTTGGGACGTGTTGCCGTCACAGCTTTTTTTTGGGTTAAATAATGATTTGTTTGACGAGATGGAGTCGTCGCGGGGCGCAGCATGGGGTGGTGGGGATGAGGACGAGGGATCGCCCCGAATATCAACCATGGCGTGCGGCTAATTAATGATCAACAGCCAGCTTTTCTACTCAAGGAACATGATCGTTCAAACGTACAAACCGCACGTGAAAGATTTGCGTGGTGCAACGCGTATTCGTCTTCTCCGCTCGATATAACGACGATATAATTCATCTTGTTTGCGCATTCTCTTGTGGTTTTGTCTCTACAGGTAGATATAGCCCGGTGTACTTTGGGTAATTACTCAATAACCGCATGCGCCTATCTTGTCGGGAAAATTATCAAAGAAGTTCCACACTTATTACACACATGACGATTTAGTCATAAATTTTTAATTGGTCCGGGCTAGGGCCGCGATGCCCTCACTTTGGCCGATGAGGGCCACGATGCCCTCGCCTAGGACCCTTAGCACCCCCCAAAAAAAGTAAAGAGAAAAAAACCAAACAAATTATAAAAGTATATAAAATATTATTAAAAAAAAGTCAATGTTAGTGTCAGTCGTGCTAAGTAGGATGATTAGCGTTCCCATCGACAATTTTCAGTCAAAACTGGCTGGATGGACTCGATTGACAAAACATGAAAATGTTTATGACTAAATTGACACAAATAATTGATTTAGGACTGAATTGACACAAGTGCAATAGATTTATGATTTTCTTGGTAATTGTCCCTTTTGCCACTCAACAATGCAAACCACCTCGTTTGACCATTCTCAGAGAGCAACTTTTAGAAAATATTGATTTATGTGTTTCGATAATTACTTTTTATGAATGAAAGAGGGAGCTATCGCAGTAATAGATAATAATTAGTCAGGGTGCTCAAAACACTCAATTGGTATACCATACATGACCTCTAATGTATTGGCTGAATGGTTAAGCGACTAGTTGGATGCGTTAGATCCGACATTCAAATCATGACATCTCCTACTCTAAGCGACTGCCACACTCACTTAGCTTGTGGATGTATTTTTTATTCTATATATGTGAGAGGAGCAGTCTGTACACATCTGAGAGGATTATTGAGTCAAAAGATTTGGATAACCCCTAAAACAGTACAACATGCACATACACATACCCAATCATATACATACGTACATCATGTGTTGTGTGGTCTCGTGTATTGCACAAGGGATGACAATTTGATGAAGTCACAGTCCGATGCAAAAGGCGTGGATAATGATACGAATATACTCTGGTAGCCCTTTTCAATTTCATTTGATTGGATATAGACAAATGAACATGTAAGTGGATGCATCCCTAATACTAATAGTGACTTTAAAGAAAAAAAAACTATCAAAAAAAGACAAATGATCAAAGAAAAGAACATAACTTTTCATACATTCCTACACTAGATCGATTATATTAACCACATCATCCATAAATCAAGTGTACCCATTAATTATTGGGAAAATGACCAAGGTATCCCAACTATACAAGAGCTTCGACATGATAACAAATTTTTTCTTTTTTAAAATTTTTTTCGATTTTTTAATTAAAAATTAAAAATAAAATATATTATTATTATATTACCCGTCCTGTTCGGTGGCGTTCTACACGGAACCGGAACGCCAGACGTTCCAAATTGGAACGGAACGACCGTCTTGAAACCACCGTTCCGGCGATTCGGGTCCGGGGTCCGGTTCTTTGCACACCCTAGATGCATCCCTAATACTAATTGTGACTTTAATCTAACCCATTAAAATAGGTGACGCAATATTTATCAATTGCGCCACTATTAGGTCAATTCTGGCCCTAGTCTCACACCCACTTTCCCTCACGTGCTAGCATTGACCCTGTAGGCTGTAATCGATACTTATAGTGGAAATTGAAACTGAGGGCGTTTGTCATTAGGAGTGAAGTCTCTTAGCTGTAAATTCTGCCGATAGAGTCCATTATGTATCAGACAAAAAATAGTGACTCTTTATTGCCGGCTCAATCGATTCCCATATCTTTGTCCCCGTATATCACTTTCACCGCGAAGAAGACAATGGTGGGTTCTCTCATATACCCGCGAATATACACAGATTTATATTCATGCATGTACCCAAATTGTCTCTACGTACAACAGAGATGCACACGCGTCTTCATTAGCTCCCGAAGCATGCGACTATCGTGTTCTTGATCTCCAAACTTTGCAAGATCACAAAAAAGCCCAAAAGAAGAGAAAGATATCAACGTCCGACATCGATACATCTGTCCACTTATACAGAGATTGTTCCTGGACTGAATCTGTCTGTATGCATACGTGAACACATGTACGTCCCGGTGAAGAAGATACCAGAGCGAGTTCTGGTGAACCGACAAGCTTTTGGCTGCCCTAGGACCTGACAGAAGAACGAAAACGAAAGCAGAAGAAGGCTGTACAGGCTTTTCGAATTGAAAGTGGTGAATGAAAGGACATATGTTTCTTTCTTCTCCTCAGATTCTCACAATAATGCTGATCCGAAATAGGGTTTCGGTTTGTCGCGTGCCTCAATGTGATATTTGATTTTCTTAGAATGTTTTCAAGATGTGTTTTATGTGTTTTTTTTAAAACTACGTTCACAACGAGACTTATATGTGCATGTGTTCGGAACTACTCGTGGTCGACCGGTGTTATCAAAATCGCATCGCATGTCGGACCAAACTACTAATAGCACACAAATCAATCAAAGAAAACCAGATTAGACCAGCCAAACTAACACAAGCAAAAGAGGATTAACACCCGTTTAAATTTATTGTTAAAACGGCCGGTTCGTTACGATTTCCTAACACTATCATATGTATTAACATAACTATAATTACAAGAAACACATTGAAAGTACACGCCGTTGACTTCGAAAAAAGATAGGACATTTTGGGTAAGGTAATAAATTAGGCGTTTATCGATTATGGGTAGATTTATAATTTAGGAGAGGTACTTCGCAATCTCTTACATGTGCTAATGATAGTGAACATTAGATTCATTTTTGTGTTAAGACTCATCATCGACATTGCCAAATTTTTGTATGTAAGTGTATATATAATAATAAACATTATTATTTTTTTCATTTTCTTTTGTACCTCTAATATCCTCATCAACGTAAGTACTTGTGCATGCATGTGCACGATGCGCGCCTAGTCTCCAGTTTTCTTCATCGGAGTTGGTGTACTTCCCCCGCATGCATGGGTTATCATGATTGTTCTTAATTAGGTTAAACAAAAAAAGATGTGCCACAAGTAATAAATGCGTAAATAAATAACTAAACAT